TCTTCTTTCTTTCTTTCTTTCTTTCTTCTTTCTTTATATTCTTTTTTATTCCTTTTTTTCTTTATTTTCTCTTTCTTTTTCTCTTTCTTTACTTGTAGAGACGAGGGTCAGTTGTCTGGTCGTGTGCGTGGGATTCATATTCATCGACGGGGGTACAACACGTGTGATTCTATGGCTTCGATGGGAGCGGAATAATCCGGCGGTGCTCCATTCGCGCAGCGAAGTCATTCAACCGTGGCAGTAAGGGCTCGAAAGCGCTTGCGGTCGCATATAGCACCGCTTGATTGAACGCTATTGCTTTCTATAAGCGTGGTTATTTAGGCAATTTTCGTACGACTGCCGCTACTAAACTGCACACCGCAAGATTATCAGTTTTATTTTCGAAACCGTGCGCTCGAGCGCGAACGCGTATATGGTCTCATCGGGAACACTACGTGGGATTTTCGTTTAGGTTTGCACCGTGCCTAGGCTATTTCGAGGAAATTATTTTAGATTCTTAAAGTATACAGGTTAGCGAGCTGCTTGTAGCTTACGTTCCGTTGTAATGGTGCCCTTTTTTTTTCTCATGAAGTAAAAAAAAAAGCTACTTCGAACGACTTGTCAACTCTTGGGAACCGTATGCCGTTGGTTTATTTGTACAGCCACTGTTACAGTCCTACCATCAGAAGTTGATTAGGATGGATGCAGTTTGTGCTGAGTCGCGAACTTACCAAGGTACTTCTTGTTTGTCCTTCGTCTTTTCTTATTTCATTGCCTTGCGGGGGGATCACTACATATTGTGATCAAGATTTGTTGCGCACCCGTGTTCCACAGAGGTATATATGTATACTTCCGTATATATCTGTCAGGCTGATTAGTTTTTGTATAATTGAACTTGACGATTATAGTTAAATGTCAAGGTGCGGTGCTTTTTTCTTTGTCAGCTTCTCTTTAAATTGTAAATTGTTCGATATGTAGGGTTTAACGTCTCAAAACCGTCATATGATTATGAGAGACGCCGTAGTGGAAGGCTCCGGAAATTTCTAACAGCTGTGGTTCTTTAATGAGTACCCAAATCTGAGCACACGGACCTACCGCATTTTCGCCTCTATCGAAAATGCAGCCGCCGCAGCCGGGATTCGATCCCGCGACCCGCGGGTCAGCAGCCGAGTACCTTAGCCACTACACGACTGCGACAGGGTGGTCGTAAAGTGTTCAAAAATTTAAACGTAAGAACGTGAAGAAGAGTGATTTTTTCCCATTAGGTCTTGTTGCCTTATAGAAACCGGTTTTCATCCGTGCACGTGAGTTTTTTTTTATTAAGTTGAACTTAGCCGCGAGAGCCATGGAGTAGAGGAAAAACTTTTTGTGTTGTGTGCGCCATGGATATTGTTATGAGGTTTCGCTATATGGCTCATTCATCCCGTAATGTTACTTTTTAAAGCGAAAACTGTTCAATGTGGCTGATCACAACAACAACCAATTTCGGTGGCGTATATAGTTGTCCACCGCCGCCGCCTTTAGTGTCCGCAATTGAAACAGTGAACACTTAAAGAATGTTCAGGATCGATCGGGAGGCCCCTTGCGTGGCAGTTGTGTCTTATACCACGGAGCCATTAGGAATGAAATAATATTCCACGATATTGCGGGGGATGTTCTTGATAAGCCATCGAAGGATTAACAGGCTTGCGTGACGAAGTCTGCGTAAAATTTCCGGGCAGTCACTTTTTTTTTTTGTGAGCACCATGGCGGAAGCGAGTCGACCATGCCTATTCATTTCCGGCAGTATCAACGTGTCATAAAATGTGCTTCGACAGCAGGAGCTTTTTCCCTTTAAACCGTCTCTCGGCGTGCGTGTCAGGACACCTCCCGTGGCTAAAGGGGTCGCAACTGACAGCTTATCTTTGAAGGAAATGCATAAAAAAGAACAATATTGTAATAAATAAAGCACCGACACATGTCAACGCTGTCGGTATGCGCGGGTCACGTCGTTCAGAGCGCAAGTTTTGCGAGCGCGGTAATATTTAATAACTCGTCGTGGTCGCATTCGCCCGACGTCATTTCGAAGCGGCTCAGGACTGCGTCGGCGACATGGTCACGAAAAAGACCCGACGTATAGCATTGCCGCGCCCTTCGTGACAAGCTGTCCGCACGTCGCTTCTCTTCGCTGTGCGCGGTGCCACTTTCGCGGTGTCCTAGCTTAGACGCACCGCCACGGAGCGCTGCATCTCGTCGCATAATTAGGCTCGTCCAGATGGCAGTGCGTGCGCTTTTCGACCCGTGTGCTCAGAAGACAGACCAACCCGTTGAATGCAATCGGGACGCTTTTGAGCTTTGTCAGAAACACGCTGACACGAGGCCAGTGTATAGGTCGACCGACATTTTCCCGCTTTTCACCGAGTTTCTTTAGCGTGTATAATTTAGTATAGCGCAGTCTAGGGAAGCGCGACAGTTTGTGAGTTAACGATCTGAGAGAGCTCTCGGAAAATTGATGAACTTGGATGCGTGGGCCCGCGTAGGAATGTTTCATGGTCGCACGAGTACGCGGGATATGGTACGCGCCCTCATTTTGACGAGAGAGATGTTGTGACAAAGTCGTGGCGTGCGAAAACAGTGGCAAAACTGGAGGCTCGAGAAGACATCAGTAACGAAAGTTAATCAAAACTTTATTTTTTCTACCGTGGCATTTCCGATGGAGGCGGAAGTGTTGTAAGCCCGTGTGCTCAGATTTGGGTGCACGTTAAAGAACCCCGGGTGGTCGAAATTTCCGGAGCCGTCCACTACGGCGTCTCTCATAATGACATGGTTGTTTTGGGACGTTAAACTGCACATATCAATCATTTTTCTACTGTGGGCCCACGGCGTGATTATTTGATTATCACAGCCCGCGAGGCGAACGTGCAGGACATACGAGTGACCCAGTGAGGACTGTAGTCGATAAAGATTCTGGTATAGAGCGTGGCAACGATTTTACCGACTAATGGAAGCAATGAGGCTAGTATACACCGATAAGGATAGATGGAAGTTGGATTCGCGAAAAAAAAATGAAATCGTTATAAACGAGCGTGGCTACGACCCCGTTAATGTGGTATTATTAATAAGTATTGACCCCCCCCCCCCCCCCCTTCCTTCCTTCCCTCCGCTAAAAGGAAAAAAAAAAGAATTGGAGGGCTCGCTGCAACAAGGCACATGTTCATCCAGAGAAGTAATCGAAAACAGTGTCCCCTTTATGAATGGATGGATCGAGTGAGACAAACTCTGATGTCTATGTTTATTCTACATTTCTCCCTCGAGGAAGCATCTGCCTTGAAATTTGCGTGCAGAATATGCTCTCATTACCGTGAAGGACGTAATCGTCTCCTGTGTCGCCGATTTGTAAAATGCTTCTCCGTTGTATATACGACACGGCGATTGGTGCAAACGGTGTCACTTAGCTCATTCATCATGAGCACGCATTCTCGCTTTTTTTTTCTCGTCGTTTTTTTTTTTCTCCTGTGTGTCACAGACCTATCGGTTTTGACACGCTGCCGGCACACGCTATAAACTTGTTCACTCTCCCTCTTTCACTCTCTCCTGTAGGTTCAATGTTAGTAAACTAAACATAACCAGCTCGTTGACAGACTCTAAAACAGCAGTTTATCGTTTCACTCGCGGAGGCTCCATTGTGTGGCGTGTCTGATAGTCACTGTCGCGACAGCCTTGTACAGCTTGACGACAGCCATCAAATTAAATTAAAGAAAGACAGAGACAACTGACGTTGCAAGCTAGAAAAGGCAAACGACAGCGACTGTCCTTGCCTAGCAGCGCCTTTTTCATGTCACGTTCTCAGTCAAAACGTTCGTCTCTCTTTCTTTTTTCTGAAGCCTTACTGCACGCATTCTAAGGAATGCTCCGACGCGCGGCTTACATGTCATCAGTCTTGTATGCGGGCTTTTTTTAAGCTCTGAAAAGCGCTTGACACGCTACATCAGTGTGGATCCTCTGCGATGGCCTCAATTAACCAAATGCGTTTGCATAACCTATTTGGGCTCGTACGATGCGCATAGTTTTATAAGCGCTTCCGAGATAGCAGTGCAATTTAATAACTCATTTTTAGCGGTCCGGATGGTGGCGCCTGTCCTCGCGTCTCGCAGTCACCAAACCATCGAAGAAATATGCAAATATGCATTGCCGGTAATAGGGAATGACACGCCTGTTAATAAATTAGTGGCTTGTTACGTAGAAGACGATACAAAAGGCGTTAGGTTGTGTGAACCGTGACATGGGGCAAAAACGCTGGCTGATAGTAACTTTTATTGCATTGGTTGGCGATAAGATAAAGCTTCAATGAGTTACAACTAATTTCTGATATTTTGAGCTTCCATAATTTTATTATAGAGCAATGTGGCTCTCAAGCGTTAACACGCAGATAAGAATTCCGTTTATTCCGCCACGATGCAGCAAAGGTTAAAGTGATTGGCTGCTGACCGGAATGTCGGGGGATCGCTGCCGGCGGCGGCGGTTGCATTTCGATGAAGTAAAAATGGCAGATGGTCAAAATTTCCGGTGCCCTCTACTACGGCGTCCCTCTTAACCATATATTATAGAATTTCTTGATAATATTCGTCTTAGGAATTCAGCGCTAATGAGAATTCAGAGCGGGCGGTGTCAATTTAACTATTATGTTAGACTTCATATCGTAGCAAAGCTGTGTTGTCATGTCGCCTATGATAGTTCATGTTGGGGCCCCGTCACGGTGGTCTAGTGGCTAAGGTACTCGGCTGCTGACCGGCATGTCGCGGGATTGAATCCCGGCGGCGGCGGCCGCATTCCCGATGGAGGCGGAAATGTTGTAGGCCCGTGTGCTCAGATTTGAGTGCACGTTAAAGAACCCTAGGTGGTCGAAATTTCCGGAGCCCTCCACTACGGCGTCTCTCATTATCATAAGGTGGTTTTGGGACGTTAAACCCTACATATCAATCAATAGTTCATGTCGAGAGCACTAGTCAACCTTGCGTTTTTTTCTTTCTCTATATTTGCAGAACAACATCGTTGTGGAGTTCGAAGCCATTCATCCGGATAGCACGAAGCCGAAGCTACATGATGCCCACGTCGTGCTGGAGTCGAAAGAGAGTCTTGTGAGTGTACGCTATGGTAGCGCAGTCACAGTGCTACCAGCAGTTAATTAGCATTCATGTAAGATTACCTAAAAAAAGAGGGGAGAGGAGGAAACTGGTTGGACAAAATGCTAACTAATGTGGCCTTTTGAAGAAAAAACAACAAAAAACGCGATTTCCTACATCTCGTACATACGGGCCATTTATGAATGGAACTTGACATAGTTATTCGAGGAACATCGATACTGTTTTCTAGGGCGATCACAGTATAAACGGCGAAAAGCTTTATTTCAAAAGAAATAAAGCTTTATTTCAGAAGAAATGAAGCTTTTGTTCCATGGTTATTTCTCAACACGCAGTGACCACTGGGCGTGCCTCACGGAAAGAATACTTGAGAACTGCAGTTAAGTCTGTGTAGCTCATGAACAAACTTACTTAAAATTAACAAAAAAAGGGGGGGGGGAGTGGATAAGGGCACACAAGTGGCCACGTGTTTAAAACCCCTGCTATATAAGAACTTTTTTTTCAGAGATTCCGTAGTGAAATTTTAATGCAGGTTGATAGCTGTACTGCATCGGGTGTAGCCGTTGATTTCAACTCTGTATCTCTTCTCGTGTCAGACAATCACGACGGGCATCACCTGCGAGCGACTGATTTTGGTGATCAGAGTCACGAAGAGCGACGACCCGGAACGGACCGTCCACCGGTACAACCTCCTTGTCGAAAAGCTCAACGGAAAGGCGAGTGTTCCCACGGGCCTCTTTTAAGGGGAGTACGAGCTAAGTCAGGCGAACGTGCTCCAACTGCTAAACGTGCATTCGCCTCGTTGTCCCGACGAGCTGGGAACGGCTTCTAAAGGAACTGGGTTCAACGGTGCAACGTCCTTATTCTTCTAGCAGGCACGGATTGCATATCTATAGCATTAGCACGCTGCGCTGAGCCTGAAATGCAGCGTTATAGCTAATCAATTAAGTGCTGGACTTCTGAAAATCTGTCCAATCTTTACGCGAATCTCTTTTCTCAGGAGTGCAAACTGTTAGTTTCAGTGCAAGCTTTTGTTTCGTGGCGTTGAGATTGTTAAATCTAAGTGCTTACAACGCAGGGTGACATTCTCGCGACACACGTATGTTGTGAAGGTGTAAACAAACATATACACATATATATTCCAAAGTCTAAAAAATCGAAAAACAAAGACACTCAAGCACTAACTGCGTGCGACGTAATCAGTAATCTTTGTTTGAAAAGCTTGAACGTCGTATGAAATGCTCCAGCTATCGCGGAACGTGTGATTAAGAAAAAAAAAAACTTTCTACGTGATAGGAGGACGCGACCAACGATGTACTGTTAGTCTCTTGAAAAGTAGAATGCCTTTACGTTTAAATTACCAAGATTTCACGCTATAGTTAGCACGACATAATGTTCGCGGACCCTTGGACTTTACCTTGCTCGTTATCTTATGAAGAAGAGAAGCTTTGCAGGACGCGCCTTTGCTGTAACACTAAGTTAAACGCTTTCAACCTCTTTGCTCGTCTTTTGCTGCATTGAAAAAGAAAGAAAGAGAAGGAAAGAAAGAAAGAAAGAAAGAAAAGGAAACAAATGAAAACACTAAAAAGTAAACTGTGCCTCAAGTCTGACATCTCGAGTGTCAATTAGGGGGCAGCATGCCTTCTAATGTAGTTTGGTGGCAGCTGAAAATGAAAATAAATAAAATGTCACGTGTTTTAACGTCTGCTCTTTGGGTTTATGTTGCAGTTGAGGATATGCTGCATTAGCACGGAGCAACTGTTTGTGGTGCGCTTCGTTCAGCGACCTGACGTCAAGGTTTCCCTGCAGTCTTCGCTTGCCGAAAACGTGAGTTTTTCTTTTTTTTTGGGGGGGGGGGGGGGAGGCATAGCCCCTGCACTTTGCTTAACACCGAATCCATGAAATTTGATTACCGAAATAATGACGCCGTTTTTTATTTTAATGTTTATTTCGCGACATATACGCATGCAGCAGTGTTATCGCCCAAGATTTTAACTCACTATGTTCCTTTCGTCTTTTTCTTTTCCCTAGCTTTTGTGGTATGCCGCTACAAAAGGATAATAACTCGCTAAAAAAAATTAAAAGTCTGAGTTCACTCGGCCCGTTTCTGGCGAAACGACCGAGTAACGTGAAGACATTCCCTTCCGACGGTTAGCGCGTGTCAGTTTTTTAATAACGTTAATGTAGAGCTTGCAACACCTTTCAGACGCAGTCCAAATTTTATCCTGATGACCGCGAGAAGTTCGTGCGACATTCGATTCTTTAAGTCGCTTTTTATAAGAGGCACAACAGAAAACACTCTCTTCGGCTCTGCGTTACATGTAGAGAAAACAAGGTTTTTTTTTTTCTCATTCTGCAATGTGTAACATAAGATTAGCACCTTATGCATTTCGGTATGTTAATACTTTGATCCAACCGTAGCTGTGGCATTGCACGTACGCGTCGGCTTCAGCTATGGGAAGTGCGGGGTTCGATCCCCAGTGCTGGCAGGCCACCCACAGGTAGCTAAACAGGGTACAGGCGGGCTTCGAGGGGCTGTGACGCGTCGCCCCACTGGTGATGCTTACTCTGCCTGGAGGACTCCCAACCCGTTGCGCGGGACCCGGTAATACCTTGATCCAGGATTCCATTGCTGACATGTCGGCACTCACATTCTCAACTTGACGAAGGTGCCGTACTTGCTCCTCAATAAGAGCTCGGGGCAACCAAATACCCTTCTTGGCAAGGCTTTCGTCATGTTCATCCTATTCTGCTTTTTTTCCCCTTCTAACTAAAACTTGTGATAGTTCGATGTTCTTTATGTATTTTAACTGATGTTTTTGGGTGTGTGCACGAAGTTATCTGTCATAACTTTTTGCACGTGCACATGCAGTTTTCATCGGTGTGACCAGATTGTTTAAGAAGAAAAAAACTTCTCTACTCTGTATATGTGTATATTTACAGTGTCTGTATAGCTACATATGTATTATGTGTAATTGATATTTCCCGCTTCTGTCCATTACTTTTCTCATTGGACCCTACACTAGCCTCAGGCAATGGGTACAATCAGTGTTTGTAAACTTCATGTGACAAATGATAATAAACGTTCAATCAATCAATCAATCAATCAATCAATCAATCAATCAATCAATCAATCAATCAATCAATCAATCAATCAATCAATCAATCAATCAAGCAATCAATTCGGCCCGATAACAAATGTCTAGATGCAGTCTGTGTGACTATGGTCATTGGAAAAAAAAACAAGATTGGCTGGGCTCATCACATGCAAAAGATTTTTTTATTGTGTCTAGGTTAACAGATCACGCAAATGACAGCTTAGACGCGTTCCCGCAAGAAACGCATGCAGTGTATCGTTTGCGCGTACAGTGATAAAATAACAAACAAAACGGGCCCGTCATTTTCAAACAAATAAAATAGAACAATTGGCATAACATACATCATGGCTGACAAACGCCGTAGCGTCGGCACAGAAAATGTCAAACCAGAATGAATAATGACTGCAAAAGCAGCGAGATGCGTGCGCTTCTCGCTGTGCAAGGGCTTCTATGGGCCGCGCGCATCCACTTTTCGCCTATACTTACGCACGAGGTGGATTAACGTACGGGGCGGGTAGCGGCTATACTCCGTGGCAACTTTCTGTGGCAATGGAGGGAAGGCTACGGAACCAAAGCGGGTGTATGCCACCGCTGCAGAATATATATAGTCCCACAAATGCGTCCATATTTTCCGCGCAAAAATCATAATAATAAAAAAACAGCATTACTATATTTTCTACAAGATGCTGTTTATAAAAAGACGATGAATGAACCAAAGAGATGTAGTTATTTGTCTTACTTTATGAAGTGTGATTTTGTATTTTGGACGTCTGAAAACGTTGCACATTCTAGTTGCACCTGATAGTCAAAATGGTGTCTTCGCCTTTAGTTGTGAGCGAGTCGCCCTCCAGCTATTCCTACGACTCGCCGAAAAGCAGGTGTCGAAGTGGACGATTGGGCCAGTTTGTGATACATGATCTAAGTATACTACGCGGTCGAAAACACGGACGGGAAAAAAGACAAGGACATGCGCAGACTATCAACTGAAGTCTACGCTTGTCCTTGTTTTTTTTTTTTCGTCCGTGTTTTCAACCGCGTAGTATACTTGGAACTGGTGTCGAATTTCACTCACAAATGGCTGTGTAAGAAGACGCAGCAAGTTCTATGCTGTGATATTATTCGAACAGGGCCGTCATTCGAAAAGCTAGTCTAGCCAGACTATTTCGCGGAGGAGTACGTGTGCAGTATCTTCGTCCCCGCATATAGCTTCCCTTCATTGCCATAGAAAGTTGTCCCCGAGTATAAAAAGCCTGAACGAGTCCCTCGCCAGATACAGTGCTGCCTAACTTACATGAATTATGTAAAAACCATTGCGGCCGGGACGCGTTTTGGGCGCATGCGAATGCTTCCGGTATACTGAGTAAAAAAAAAAAAAGCACTTACAGGAACTGCAGCCGGCAGTGTGAATGACCACATAATACCTTTTTAATAGTTTCACACGGTCTTAACTTATATCAGCTGTTGATGTCATCGCCGGAACAATAGCGAAAGTATCCAAGCAGCCCACGTCATTTTTTGGTCGCCGCGGCCTCTTAAAAGTAGCCAAAAGTAGCCAAATCGGGCTACTATGGTGTTCACACACGTCGGAAACGGTCTGCATTCTCGTGGCCGGTCTGATGCCCGTATAAACGTATACAATGCGTTGTGCAATACCAAAGTAAGCAGTAGTGCGGGCAATCTGCTTAATAGTAAGCCAATCAAAGACTATATATGGAAGAGTTCAAGTCTGTCGGCGCACCACACACGGCAGCGGCCTTTTAATAAGTTAAGCGCGGCACCGTATCTGCAGAAAACTAAGAATGCGTTACTTATTCTTTTGCTCTGCATTGCGCAACACTTACTCTTCAGCACACGCGTGCAAAAGTCTCTTGAAAAACCAAAAGGAAAAAAAAAGGGGGGGGGGGAGGCGAGGTACGTGCGAGAATATCCATGCAGATGGTGCCTAACGAAATTCGCATTCTTTTTTTTTTTTTTCGTCCGTCTCCTAAAACTAGCGTCTTGGGCGGGTTTAACGTATCTCAGTACCTGGTTTTGACGCTGAACATTGCGAACTTCTGCCGGGCTACTACACCGCGAGCTGTGAAGAAAAAAAAAGAAGATTGCGCCGCTTTGCATATTTATAACGCTCTTTCACGGCTGCCAGCTCCCTTTCTCAATTTTCGGCGCTTTTTTAGTGTGCAGCGGCTTACTGAGTGCAGTGTCCTATATATAAACGGATCAAGAACTTCATTTTTCGGAGACCGGCAGATGGTGTACATCGCAATTATTTCCATAATAATGACTGCGGGTAGTGCAGAGTAGACGTTTTACTTTGCAAGCTTGGCAATAAGTCACTTTTTCCAACTTTTTTTAAATGTACACTTTTGTTATTGTCAGTTTTCGAATCGACACCCGTGCTTCGACAGCTGCACCTTCTTTTTGTTGCTTCATGCTCAAGCTTTGCTTTGTCGCGTCAAAGTCTAGATGCTCAGTAATCACGATCCTAAATAAGCTGCTTGAAGCGAATCCTTGATAAGCTTTTTTACGTCGCTATCGAAATATATAAGCCGAATAGCATTTTTTACGCGTATTCATAGGTTATATTAAGTCACAATCTCTGACGGCTTGTCAGGGCGTTCGTTATGGTTTCAGCAAATTTTAAATGAAGGGTTGGCCCTGTCAACAATTTTCACAGCAGTTCTTTTTTTTATTTCTGTCTTGTCGCGAAATAGTCCAATGTAACATCCGTTCGTTCGTGTATATTTACCGCGAAGAAAATTCTCTCGCATGTTTGTCGTGCATAAAACTGTTTTTCTCTCTCGGGTTGGTGCTTCATGAAGTGTCCTAAAAGACAGGATCTGTTACGAGCATTAAGTTCAAATTATGTCAACCTTAATCCTTGTACTAACCAGACGGTATGAGAGGATATCAGAGTACAATTCTGCTGCAGCAGGCACAAGCAGCACTAAGGACACTAATAAATAACTCCGTGTAAGTGACAAGATTGCTCCCGTCGAACAGACACACTCTTGCGCTTATATTTTCTGGGTTTCAAAGTCAAACGATTCGGGTCGTCCACCCGAAGTGCACTCACAAACTTAGCAGAGGGTGATGTTCCGCTGATGCATTCACTTATATTGCCATTCGTGTACAGTTATCGAATCTGTGGCTAAACAAATAACCGATATTATATAATAAATATTACGTTTCAGCGCGTCGTCAGTGTTAGGTACCGAAGGTTGTTTGTTTTGCCTTCAGAACAATGACCCCTACCCACTCTGAGGTATTGGCGAAGAATGGGTATAGTAGTTGAAATTTTGAGTGATGGCAGCACTTACGTAGAATAGACCTACATTGTGGATGGGATTTTGCGCGAAAAAAAAGAAGAAAACACGAACAAGAATTTTTTTTTTTGCGCGAAATCCCACCCACAATGCAATGCCAACTCGCCCAACACTCGGTTCTTCCAAAATAGACCGAAATAGGCTTTTGGCCCACCTTAGTTCATAATTCACGCATCAAATTTGGTCATCATCAATATAATAATTTTCCATATAAGGTACAGTGTGGCGAATCCTTCTTGTGGGTATGAGTCAATTTTTTTTATGCGCGACAAAACAAACAAAGGCCTCTGCCATGTTCTGCAAATCAACCAGGCCAAGATATTTTTGGCGACAAAACAAACAAAACAAGTCAACCCGATCCTGGCACTGCTGCGGCCATGTTATGCAGGTAAATCTTATCTGTCCTCCTAATCCTTTCTATTGGGCATTAACTACCTGGATCAGTGCTTGTGCAGTACTCACGGATTGAAACAGGACAATTTAGGGCTAAGCATTGCGGTACATACTTTCGTCTATACCATCTTCAGTGCTGGTCATATCGGCGTGACCCTATGGTCTACACTCGAGCTTGTAGATCAGAGCCAACATCTTTAGAGACAAGATTCGTCGTTACATGACGTGGTTGTCTCGAGTGATTGCGAATATACCAGTCGCTACTCAGAATAAAAAGGTTAGATGCCTAATTTGTATCCGTGAGTACTGTGTACACCCAACATTGTTTACAGAAAGCGTTACGACGCCAGATGGTGTACTTTTGAGGCTGATGTGGAAGTGTCGCCTGCGGGGAATTAAGGCAAGTTTCATCGCACCCCTTCGAACCGCCTCCAACTGGCCGGTTGATCGAGTCCGAAAAAAAAAAGAGGAATGGTTGCTAAACGAAATATGGAGTGATGATCTGCTTATTGTAATGACCTGCCTTTGGTCTCTGTCCTGGCAATGTACAGCTGGGAAGTAAGCAGTTCCCGGAATGCAGTGTCAGAGATCTTCAGTTGCCACTACCGTTGAAAGCATGTGTGGAATAATGGGACAGGTCGATCTCTAAACTTGTGGAGCCACCTTCTATAATCAGGGGTAGCCGCCCTCCATCCCCCCTTACACCTCCGTGCGCATGCCAGTCCATCAGTTCGGATGAAAGGTAAGGACAAAAAAAATTAATGTAGTGGCGAAGGTTAAAAACTGAGCACGTACTGGCATGTCGCTGCGAAGAGGTCGCAAGTTCGGCTCACTGTACGTAGAGGTTCGCCGCAGACCGCATCGCTGGTTTATGTGCAGAAACCGCACTCGGTGGACCAGCGCGCCCTGGACGACGTTGTGCTGGAGGCGGTGGTGGACGCGCTGTCTTACACCGTGGCCGACATCAGCTGCTCGGGACAGAAGGATTTCCCCAGCTTCAAACACCGAGCACCGGTCTCCGAGATAATACAGAGCACGCACCTCAGTCAGGTGGTGAGTGCGCGCCTCCTTTTGGACGTTAAAGTGGTTTTGGGACGTTAAAACCCACATATCAATCAATCAATCAATCAATCAATCAATCAATCAATCAATCAATCAATCAATCAATTTGACGTCATCAGTCCCTCCACGTATGGAGAAGCCGGACACTTGCGTATTTTATTACGTTTCGTGAACGCCTTCGCTGGTCGTTTTTTTTTTTCGTGGTTGTTTTGATTCAATGAAAGAACTTCGCAGATGGAACGTTAGTTTGTGTGGAAACATTAAAATATTTGCCAACAGATAGGCAACTACGTGGGCACGAGCCGACACTTTTGAAATTCATCTCATGAGGCGGAGATTCTTGCGACAATCTCTAGGCCAAGTCGTCAATGGTCTTGCATGTGTAGCGACGCGGCTGCCACCGCGCACCCCGCGGTCATAAAAACCTGCGGAGCAGGCAGCATCACAAGCAACGTGCTGCTCTCTGTTTCTCTTTCGTCTCTTTCACTCTTGCCACTTCCGGTGCACTGCGTGCGCCTGCTCCATTTTCGACCCTAGTTGTCATAATAAAGTAGACGTTGTTACTGAAAAGACGTGTCCGTCTCGTATACCTGGCTCTACACATGCGTTAATGCTTCTCTCACTTCACTGAGACACCACACGCGGTGAACTAACACATTATAAAATATCCTGGAAATGCGGACCATAGCTTAACCTAATAATTGGTTTAATATTTTTTACATACTGTTCCCGTCGAGTCGGCAATCTGTTGATGTGAACTCCGATCTTGCTGGTCTGCGTGTATGTAGTGTTCGATTTCTGTGCTTGCAGGACGCTTCGACGCCGTCCCACAAGGTCAAGCACGATCACCGACTCCTTGTGAAGGTCATAAAAGCTTCCAACTTAGGCGGAAACAAAGGTAGTGGCTTCTATATCTTGTTATCAGTGATGCGAATCGCATTCCTGGATAACCTTGTTCGATCCATGTATTCATACTGCAGACCACGCCATGCCGCTCTTCAGTGAAAATAAATAAATAAATAAAATTCTTCCGAAATTTAGTGTAATCAAACACTGTGCTGAGGGGTTTCCCTTAGTACAGCATTCAACTTTAACGCTGAGAGTCAAATTTGCATGCGAACAATCGACGCGTTGCAAGCACAAACATCGCACGTCTCGGAGGTTAGCGGGAACTTCATGGGGCTGCCGCAAGATGGCACCGTATGTTCAAGAGGAATTGCGAGAAAGGAGCGCAGATGCAGTCTAGTTAACGGTCGAGGTGTCTCGATGCGTCTTTCTAATGAGTAGCTGGCGTCTTACTTGTGCGCTAATGTACATCTCCTTATATATCATATCAATAATAAAAAATAAAAAAACGCTCTCGGTGGTGGAACATTTGTGCGTCGCGATGCTTCATTCAGCTTTTTAGAAAATACCGTATTTTGTATACTGTTTTCTTCATTGAGTGATCATAACTGACTTTCTTCGACAGTGATATGCAAATAGAGCATGCAGCCGGCTCTAATATGCAAATAGTGCCACCATATGCTTTACACACTTTTGGTATTTCTATCTCATGCTGAGTGGTGAGATCATGATGTGTCTAACGTCTGTATATAAAATGACTTGATAATACAAAAAGGAAGAAAGAAGGTTGTTGATAACGATTCACATTTATCTATAGTAGCAGCGCGTCATCGATAATGCAAACATCGATAATGCTGAAGAAATTCGCGTTGCAGTTTTGTTTGCACATGCTTGTGTTTTCTTGCTCACTGCTATTCTACTGAAGCTTCAAGTCGCCCGTTTTGCCATCTCGTGATCTGCCCCGCCGCGGTGGTCTAGTGGCTAAGGTACTCGGCTGCTGACCCGCAGGTCGCAGGATCGAATCCCGGCTGCGGCGGCTGCATTTCCGATAGAGGCGGAAATGTTGTAGGCCCGTGTGCTCAGATTTGGGTGCACGTTAAAGAACCCCAGGTGGTCGAAATTTCCGGAGTCCTTCACTTCGGCGTCTCTCAAAATCATATGGTGGTTTTGGGAGGTTAAACCCCACATATTATTCATCAATCTATCTCGTGATCTACATTTATTCATGCTAATTTTTTTTTTTGCATCACACACCACTGATTAAAGCATGTCAATGTAAACGTGATAAATATTGAGCTAGAAAAAAACATTCCGCGTTTCTGACTAGAATTAGATTTTTCTTAATCTTTCTGAATTTTTTTCGAATTTCAGAAATTTTACGTGATTGTTGAATTTAATTTTTTTCAGTGCCAAGTGATGTAAGCGGCTTCGTGTTCATAGCATATATTTTGAAAAAGTGACAGTGAAATCTGAATTGTTTTTGACTTGTTATTTTGTATGCTGAAATGTTAATTAAGAGAATGCCAGTTCTCACTGTGGGTTGTCAAAATATTAGGAAACTTTATGAACATTGTACATTATTTATGTATGTCCTCTCTGTTATGACCCTTCTTGCCCTGCCGTGGTGGTTTAGTGGCTAAGGTACTCGGCTGCTGACCCGCAGGTCGCGGGTTCGAATCCCGGCTGCATTTCCGATAGAGGCGGAAATGTTGTAGGCCCGTGTGCTCAGATTTGGGTGCACGTTAAAGAACCCCAGGTGGTCTAAATTTCCGGAGCCCTCCACTACGGCGTCTCTCATAATCATATGATGGTTTTGGGACGTTAAACCCCACATATCAATCATCATGTTATGACCCTCCGTGAGGGCTGACAGTATTACCAAATAAATAAATAAACAAAAACAAGAACGGGCAAAAGGTAAAACATATAAGGGCATCACAGTAATGTTGCACTGGCGTAATAGTGGGGCTGTTCTAGTGCACAAAAAAAAAGAGAGAGAGACAGAAAGAATAACCTCCTCGTCATGTGTCGCCCCCAGGCTGCAAGGAAGTGTACTGCGTGGTGGAGGTTGACGAGCCGCCGCATCGCTGCACGACTACCGTTGCCAAGGAGACGACCAATCCTTTCTGGGACGAGCACTTTCTATTGTGAGTTCCGCGCCGTTTAATCCTGCTTGCTCTGCATTTTGCATAGCTGCGCCTCTCGGGGCTCGTATCAAGGAACGGGCGTACGGGCTTGGTTCATATACGCTTTTTTTGAAGAAACATCGCTTATATTTTTTTATCGGTTGAGCAAATACAAAAAAAGGGGAAGAGTGTTTACGACTCCATGCTGCAGTGACATTAAAGAAAGAAGCTCGCATTCGGCCGCGCCAGTATTGATAACAGTGAGGCCGGTCGACGCAAGTAGGATACTTTATCGCCGAATGCTAGATCAGTTTCGCTAAGGCAAAGCTATTCGGTCTACTAGATTCACTGCTATCAGGTCTTGCGCGGCAGATTGCAAGCTTCATCTATTAAGTTTAAGCTTGGCGTGGTTATACGCAGTCAAGTCGGTAGCTTCGACGCGCCTCCTCCGCTTCTGTAGCTATGACGTCACACCAGCTGGCGTGGGGGCGAGGCCAGACTAAATAGTGCGCTGCTGTGGTATGTGTCTTTTGGCGTCGGTGGTTGCTATAGGTGATGGCGCGGTGGGGTTTCTGTGGGAAACAGCTGTTCCTTTTTTTATTATTGCGACAGCAATTATATGAACAGTCTCGGCTGGTTGCCCCACCGCGGTGGTCTAGTGGCTAAGGTACTCGGCTGTTAACCCGCATGTCGCGGCATCGAATCCCGGCTGCGGCGTCTGTGCTCAGATTTAGGTGCACGTTAAAGAATCCCAGGTCGTAGAAATTTCCGCTGCCCTCCACTACGGCGTCTCTCACAATCATATGGTGGTTTTGGGACGTTAGACCTCACATATCAATCAATCACCCAGTCTCGGCTGGTTCTTGCCGCCGCTGTCATTCATGTCGTTTTTCCGGCCGGGCTCGGCCGCGCGCGCGCTTATCTCGCCAGCGAACAAAGGGGGGGGGGGGGTGGCTTATCTCATTTTTGCTCGAATAGTCGGGTAGGGGGGTTCCGTGCCCTGACCCTCGCTCATCGAGTTAGAGCGATGGCGTCAACCTGGGCGATAGATACCACCAGCGGCGGGTGTAATTCTTTGCTACCACCCTTATCTCGGCAACGATCAGCGCGCGCCTTCTGCGCTCTCAGCAAGCGGGAGCTTCTACGGGCAGTGCTTTCAACATGAAGAAACGGTGCCATAAGTCTACCTGGAGTGACCGTGTTCTCTTACACCAGCGCTTTGTAGAGATACGCGAGATCGGATCTAAAGGAACTTACTGCCAGCCTCACTTCGTAAAACAGCGCCGCCACTTCGCACGAGCCTTGTTGGGGTCATCTACTGTTGCCGCGACGCAGGACACTTGGTTACTCAGCATGCGCATGTTTACAACAATTAAACGTCGCTCCTAAAAATGCTAGCCTTGCTTCGTAAAAGATTCGAATATCTTGCTACCTCATTCATTGCTTCGCCACTTTGGTGAAACTAACTTTTTTTCGTGCTGAACGGTCTCGCAGCTAAAGAATAAAATAACCGGAATTATCAAACTTTCTGTAATTTAAGCCAGCGTTCATATAAATTGCAACTTATGAATGTAAGCATGCAAGCGGCAGGATTGCTTATCATTTTTTAAAGGTATTGCAATTATCTTTGTCGGTTTCTGTGTCTTGATTTCTTCATTTTGGCGACTTCATGAATTCAGCCCCGATTAGTTGGCTGTACAACTATCATTTTACAATGCTTCAAGCTTTTTAAAAAGTATATCTAGGTATACGTTTCGCTACAGCAATTTGCGCTCAGGCCTTCTTTCACGGTATTATTAAAAGTCACAAAACTAAAAGTCTTCCCCAATTAGGAGTCATCAATTTTTTTTTCAGAACTTTTATGTTAATAAATACCTCTTATATGTATAATAATGAAAAAAAAATTAACGTCAAATTTACATTCCTAAACTTCGTGCAGAAATCTTTACGCATTATTGCCAGCCTGACCGAAATAACTTGTTATATTTTTTTTTATATTTCGTCCGCATTATTTTAACAAATTACCAGAAAATTGCTAAGTCACTGGTTCCCTTTCGGGGGTATGTACTTCACTTTTCTGATTAAAAATTGTGTGAGGTTTGTAGTAGGCGCCGTCAAACTCTGACCGCACGACGAGTTGGTGCGACAACATCAGGGGGATGACGCTAGTTTTTTTGTGTGTGCGTTTTCTCGTTTAGAAAACCTCTTATCGTAGCGAGAGTTGTCGGTGGGAAACGGCAGTCTACTTATTGGAGTGACCGAGTGAAACAACTTTAAACGGCCCACAAGAGACGCGAGTAAACTCCACGTTACCATGGCTGAGACCACTCGTTGAAAGTCAGCTTAAACGTGAACGCCCTGGCGTGGGCCCTCTGATGGGTGGCCAGGATTTGAAAGGTGAGGTCGTGGGCCTTATGGACACCATTTATCACTGGCGAAACATAGAGCTCGGAAATGCTTCAGCGTGTTTTCTTTACCATGTTAGATGGCGCGAAGAGTATGCGCGCTGCAAAGGTTGTCGCCCCTCTCGTTTTTCGCCTCCTACTTGGACCCCCTGTCTGTGACCGACAATTAAGGAGGGATCGCCGGTGTGCGCGCGCCTATCCAGAGAGAGGGTGGATCCGTCTTGTGCTTTCACCGCAAAATTTGTGTTGAAGTTGCACAGCGCACGATGGTCAATTCGCTCGCGGCAGTGGCATGTTTGTGAAAGGAGGCAGCTGCTAGCTAGAAGAGCCCAAGGAGGGACCTGTTGGCTGTGCATAGTCGATACATGCAGTGCGCTGTTCAAATATTATGAAATAACAACTGTGACGGGTGTAATCCGGGCTCGTCAGATGTATTATACCTGCGCGTTCTTTTCGTGCGTCCTGCTTTGTGTTTAACCAGCTCACTGCAAGTGTCGAGGTGTAACAGTTGTTAGTTCGCACTCGTCTTGTGTGTTCAATCCGCGCGTCCTTATGTGCTTGAGCGGCCCGTTGCAAGTTTCGAGCTACTTGCCGTTATTCGTCTGATATTACAATTTGTTGTTATAGCATTGATTGCTTCGCCCTTTCGGCGAAACTGTGATATTTTTTTCGTCTTCATCCATGGTTGAAAGCTGTCTTCTGGACACTAATAAAGGAAGGGGTGGGGTTACTGCAATGAAGCTTTGCCTTCCTCTCGAGAAACCCTGCACATCAGGTTGTCCACGTGACAGTGTTGCGTGTTACGAGTAATCGCGGTTGACCGTTGCTTGTTACGTAAGCTTATAGTAGTTCGGCACTTTTCATAAAATTGTTCTTTCCGTATATTCATGCTCAGCGGTGACAAGCTTCGTATACAAAATGGCATTATGCTTGCGTGGTAAATGTCGAGGCTTTAATGAAACGCATGTTTGAAATCTTTCAGCACCCTCGACCAGAATTCCTCTGAAGTCCTGTTCGAGATATACGACAAGAGCAAGCCCCAAGGCGGTACGTATACAACAAAGACAAACCTTTTACGCATGTTTACCCCCCCCCCCCCCCCCCTTTTCTGCCGTAATTGCATCCCGCATGTGCGTCACTATAGGACGTACACACCACACATCCCATCATTGAACTAAGTAGGCTCCGGACCATTCGCTTTTGTTTGTTAATTTGGGACATGCTTGATTAGAGTACTACTTTTATTATATGTTTAAAGGCAACGTAAAAGAAGTGTAGGTTCCGTTGCGCATCCGCCTGTGTTTACTGTGCAATTTGTATTGACGCGACGTCTGAAGTTCGCTAATTGACTCGTTAGTCACTTAATTTGCTCTGACTGTCATCTCATATATATGCTCAGTCGTGCTTCCATTCGCTTTTGAATTCACTCCTATTGGTTTCAGTAAGCCGAGTCAAGCGGATGCCTCTTTGATGGGACACTAAACTCAACTATTAAGTCGACGGTGATTGTTGAAATGCGGTCCAGAAACCTCGTAGTGTTACTTTTGTGCCAAGGAAGAGCCTATTTGAAAAAAGATCACGTTTTAGTGGTCTGCATCGGGTTAGCGCGCTTAAAATTACCTGCTTCAAGAAGCGGACCGACCGGACCGACTCACGTCACTGTTGCCGTGCACAACGTTGCCTAGTAGCAGCAGACCGAAAGCAGCGGGAGCCATAGCAGCAACAATGGCCATTGATCAATTTCCCGCCATTGGCTTCGAGGTTGCAGACCCTTATGTATCACCTGCGCCCTGCTAGATGGCACCACCTGTCCTGTGTAACCACACGAAAATTGATTTTTTAAACCACTCGCGCCATTCCTCATAGTAACGTCCGGCAGTTCTTTTTCGTATGAATTAAACAGAAACGAACAAGCAGCATTTTATTGCATCTCTTGATGCACGGAAGGTGTTTTATTTAGTGCAGTTAGATCGATTACTGGTGATTAATTGTAGGCGGTTCGTCTGATGTCATCTAGATCATTTTGAAAATGTCGTACTGCGGCGCTAGTGTTATATTGCATTTACTTTAATTTCTCGGTAAGTAGGGCACTGTTGTTGATAATAATGTCATTTCAGATGTTTTCGTACATTGAACTTTCAATCTGATGTAAATTGTTATTTGATTTCAGTGTCCCTTTAATTTATTCTCTCCAAGTGGCTGGCGCTGCTTCGTGGAAGCTAAGCAGTCTGTTGCTAATGCGTTGGTTCCTAGACGAATGGCTCAACCCACCCCTGTGAATCGGCTATAAATTGCGCTGCCCCCCCCCCCACCCCCTTTTCCACGTGTGCATGCCTATGGTTGGGAGAACACGAATGTATGAGCCGTCTGCCCATCCTTGTAAAGATACGGCTCATGCGACCGTGCGGGACCATGTCTGGCCTGTCAATTGAAGCTCCCTGCTGGAACCATGCTATACAATCAAACCCTTTCGTAGGCCTTTCGCCCAGCGAATACGGCCGGCGCGTTTCGTTACTGCTCGAGCCGCTATCGCCTGCAGTCCTCGCACGCCTTTACTCGTACGCAGAACCGATGCGGGTTCATATCGATTTGAAATTGATACACAACGATCACGTACCGATGGCAAATATGTGCCGAGAGTATATCGCAAGAATTAAGGAAGCATGTGAGCACGTGGTTATCTGATGTGGGGCCGAGCCCTCTCACACATGTAGAGAAAAGGCTCGGCGCCGCGTCCTCTCCCTACGGAGAGAGACCTTCCTAGCATTGGGCTAGGAAGGTTTTCAGGTACTTGTACATGAAGAATGTCAATACAAAATGGAGGAAGCGAACCAGGAAATTGACTGGCACATACTTAGAAAACAGCAGGTGGCCAAACCAAAGAGAATTATCGGTTACGAAGAAAGTGAAGGAAATGGAGACTGACATATGGAGAATTGGCGTGATTAAGAAGTCTGCACTAGAGATCTATTGAACTATTAAGCAGGAAATTGCCAAGGAAAGGATCTATGATAATACTCAGGGTAGTTCTCTGCTGTTTGAGGCCAGGATGGGAGTACTGCGAACCAAGACATATCGGGTCAAATACGAAGGGGTAGACACGGTATGCAGTGCCTGCGAGGAGGAGGAGGAAACTGCCGAACACTTCATAATGTTCTGTAAAGGGCTTCACCCTATAGTTCAAGATGATGGCGCAGAGTTTTTCAAAGCACTGGTGTCTAGGGACAGGGAGGGCAAAATAGACTTTAAGCGGGTAGAATTAACTAGAAGGAGGTTATCTGATATGTGGCTAAAGTCAAGGCACGAGTGAAAACTAAACCATTCACTGCAAAGTACCAGTCCTCAATATCACTACTTAAAGGGGAAAAGAAAAGATAAATCTAGTTGTTAGTTCAGTAAGTATTACGGCTAGGTGGCGTCAGCCGCCGCCCGATCTTAAGGGTACAGCCACATCAATCTATCTGTCCATCCAATCCCACATGCGCGTTGCGGAGCGTCAGCGCTTGGATTTTGGTGTGGTGCTGCGTCCTAGAGAGAAGGGGAGCGCAGCTTCGTGTAGCCGAGTGTCCTCTCTCTCTACAAGGAGAGGGCACGGCATAAAAAAGACACGCTGCAATGCATACGTGTGGTCAGGTCATTCACATGAGCAAAGCAAATAAATTGAAATGGGAATTTCACGGGACCAGGCCCTAGTCGCTGGCAGGGTATACTAATGGCCTTTTGGGAAGACCGAGAAATTACGCTGCAACGAAAGAGGTTTTAAAGCAGCTCGAAATGCCGTTCATTATAACCATCATCTGGAGGAAGTGGTCATGGATGAATCTGTGGCAGCTGCCCGACGAGAGCAACATGCGAGGATACGATGCGACGCAAGCGGCATTCTGGGAATCGCCAGTAGCCATAAAAGAGTGCCCGAGCCCCCCCCCCCCCCCCCCCCCCGCCAAAATTCGTATGGAGGGGGGTATTTTACCGAGAGTAAATAATGAAAATAGGTGTTTTGCAATGCCTTCATTGAATAGGTGTTTTGCAATGCCTTCATTAAATAGGTGTTTTGCAATACCCCCCCCCCTCCCCCCAAAAAAAAATACCTTATGTGACTTACCTTCACAAAATGTGACTTACCTTCACATTTTTAGAAGGTGCTGAGCATACCCCGTAACTTTTTTTGTGATTCATGCTTTTTGTACCAAGCAAACTGAGGTTATTATAATGTCTGATAGATTCAAGCAATTAGCCAGAGTTTTTAGTGGCACGTGCACCAATTGACGCTCTTGTTTCTCTTCCAAGTATATCCGATCAAGCACTTCCGATTTTTGAATATTCATAAATTCCCTTAAAAATTAAAATCAATGCTTCCAGTTGAAGTTAAGAGTTATACAAGATACATATGTGATATTGGAGCATAAATTAGCAAAATAAGATAAATTAAGTCAGTATAATTAGTGAAAAAACTGCTGGCATTCATTGAAATGTGAGCGGTGTGGATTGTTGCGGCACCTGGTGGAGTGGATTTCAACTATGTGCTCCTTTCTACATGGCCTCTGAGATCTGCTTTGGCAATCCAAGGAATGCTCACAAACATTGACATACGAGTGCCATTACCAGTGTGCCAGGGCAATATTAGGGTCGCTTCCAGAATTTCTTCTATAACTCATTCTTAGTGAGGCATTGTATATGTGCGCTATAACAAGCTATCTTCTGTATTCTTATTTCACCGCAGTTGATGGCAAGCTATACAGATAGGCACCTTTAAGGTCCAAGACCATAATCTTGTTTTCTTGCCACATACCACTTCCTACATGCCAGAAGTCCAGCGGTGTATTATGAACGGCTCAGATAACATGACTCCATTTTATTTAGCCACTGTGCATCAAGGTATGGCTATGCTGCCTTTTCAACATGTGATAAATCACATCCAATGCGTGCTATCTGAAATCTGTCTTCCGGGACTTTTGAGATGACTGTCTCCCAACATTCTCTCTGGCACGCTCCTATGCAAACTTTTAATGGTGACTGCTTGTATATTAGGGCTGAAGTGGCATGTTATTGAGCCTGCCTGATGAAAAACATAAATTGCAGTTTCACACGCTTCATTGTTTTTTCGCCTGTTCTGTTTTCAGCGCTTTTTGGCTTCTACTCGCTTATCATTAAGCTCTAACTTAATGGATATATGGGCTCTATATATATGGTCAGTGGATATATGGGCTTTAGAGCTTTTATTTCTTTGGCACTTCGGGACTATCTTTGTGACAAAGGCATGTTGCTACGTATATGTGTGTATATATATTTTTTTCAGACAATTTCCTTGGCCTTGGAATTGTTAGCATTTCGGAACTTAGAAGAGTGCCCAGTCAACGCCAGATTATCACATTACAGTCGAGGCCTTTGGAGTATGACAATGTTTCAGGCTCTCTGACAGTTGAGGTAAGGCGTATACTCAATTTATTATTGATGCCTATACATAAGGGGCCTGAATATATTATGTAAACCCAGAATAAAAACAAAGATTGGCATATCAACCATTGATGCTTTTTATACTTTTAATAAACTTAACGGTTAAAGAGACCCTGCAACGCTTTTCCAACTAATCAATGGATAACTGCATTCAAAGAATTAATTGCATCGAGAATTGACTGCTGCAAAAATGCTGCATGTTTTAAGCACTGTCTTCATTCTTTTCTACCAGCGAGTGTGCTGAAAGCTACTCAGGGGTAATGACATGGGGGTAAAAATTAGCTATGTCCTTTCGTCATGACTTTGAGCACCTTTTTCTTATTCAAGCATGTGTCTTACTTCCAGTAACGTAGTCATGCGAGCACATGGACACGTCGCACCATCTTGCGACTCTCACAGTAACTGTGCGGCTCACAATGCTGAAATCAGCCAATGGCCAAGAACTTTGACTTTATGGCCTGGTCATTCGGGTTTATAGCATTGTTTGTTGAGTGAAGAGGGAGTGATTTCTTGCTGACTTTGAGATACAATGGTATGTTCTAGGCTGCGTTCTGCACTGTTTGGCTCACATGTACCGAGGACCCTCAACTACCAATCGGCGGTGTTTTTAGACCAAGCTGAAATAGTGTTGCAGGGCCCCTTCAAAAGGGACTTCCAGTGGGCGGGCTAAGCCACTGGGCTTAGCCCGCCCACTGGTTACAGCATGTACACTTACAGCATGTACAGCATGTACGCAGTGTGTCCATGCTGGTTACAGCATGGACACACTGATTACAGCATGTACACTTTAGTGCACTCACACACAACACTTTTAGCTACAATTTGAACACTTAAAACAGCGATGTAAATGATTGCTTTCAGGTACATGATCATGCAACAAACACGACTATGTAGCCATGTGACAAGCAGAAGTCTGCTTCCGCATTCACTAATGCATTTCGCCTGCTTTGTTAGCACAGCTGGAGTGATCGTGGCATTGCAAACAGATGCAATGCTGCAGTTTATGATCAACCTCATTGAGCTTGAGGAGCCTAGCTGACAAGCAGCTGCAATAACTATTTACAGTTGTGATGTAGTCAGTTTGGGCTACTATGATACGTGGTCTCAGCTTTTGTGACATGAAAATACTTAATGCAGGGCATCGAAGCAAGGAAGGGAACCCTAGGTTTATGACGTATGTACAGTCAATAGCAAAAGTTTGCGGGACGTGGGATATACAAGAAATGTGAATTTTCGCTACATCGCTATATCAGTGCTCAATGCTTGTAATAAAGCCATACAGGGCATTATGCCAAGTGCAGTATGGAACATTTATTTGTGGAGGTTACATTCCTATACAAAGCGAGAAGTTAGCTTTATTGAGCATTTCGCAACATGCAAACTTTTGCTATTGGGTGTATGCCTCAGAGGGTGCAAATTTGAAGTTTCTTCATTTACTCTCTACAGTTTCCTTTACTAAGCAGCTACATAACTTGTGCTAAACCAACATTCACCAGTCATCACAGTGAGCTGACTATGTCGCTTTTTTCAGCGCGGACTAATGCATACAAATAATTTTTTGCCAGGACTAATGAAATATGGGATGCTTTACCCAGTCATAGATCTTTACCACTTGTAGAAATTATTTTTTATGTTAACTAACCGTTGATCTCCATGTTCAGTGCATTTTGCGTTTTGCTATTTTTGTATTTGCTACCGCCACTCCTGCAATAGCCCTTCAAGACTGCGGAATAAATAAATAAATAAATAAATAAATAAATAAATAAATAAATACTGTTTGAAAATATAAAGCTCTTTCTACTGATCAACACATTGATTTAGTGATATGTGGCTGAAGTTCTACAATTCACCTCTTTCACGATGCCTGGTCTTGGAGGCCTTCATTCTAGCAATAGTGCCAGTTCTCCCAAGTTCTATCAGAACCCTACCAAAATGGCAGAGAGCAGGACACGTAAATAAAAAAGGCGGCTTTCATATTGTGCCAGTCAGTTTTTCGTTCACATGGCAAAGAACGTGGCAAAGGATTTTTACCTGGACACAAATTTGGAATAATTGTCTACATTTTATTGCCTGTGTCTGTCAATGCAATGCTTGTGTTATATGGGTGGTTTTCTTTAAGCTTACTTGATTGGGGCTTTTTGCCATAATATGTCAAAAACATGGCAGCTATCACCAGGCATGGATCTAGGCTTTGTCTAAACAGCTGAGATGACAGCATATAAGTCTGGACAAGCACTGTTGCGATAAGTATAGCTTAGACACCAGTGCATGCTTGATGTGTATGCTCAGCCAGCTGCTTTCATGTAAATGAGCCTACTTTTGACAGTGAGTGTGGTTATAATTTTTATATATATAATGTTTGCATCAGCATATCTGACCGTGGGATGTGTCTGTTTACCATAGTTCCTCTACATGGAGGGATCCCAGATTCCAGTGGTGGCAGACTCCCAAACAGCAACAGAGTTTGCTCCACACTCACCACAAAGCCGCATTGTCGAGAAAAACAGCCGGATCACCTCCGACGGAAGGGTCATCACCACTACTACCATCAAGCGCTCACCGACAACTGAAAGTGAGTGCATGTTGCTTTTTCCTTTTTGCTCCTCATTTGGCACCTTGATAACTTGCCTAGAAACTCGCCAAGATGGCCGTACATAAGCATTGTTCTGGTGAAGGAGTGCTTTAGTGCCAGAGCTAGGAACCATTGCTTAGAAGGGCCCTGGAAGAATAGTACTTACATCAAGCAAAATGTGAGCTTGATTGGTCACTACATATAGTACAATTAAGTCATCAGCGCGACTAGCCAAATATTTGCCTGTTTCGCAGCTTTGCATTCCAGTCTTGATCAAACAGCTACATGGTGTTCACACTTTGAAGAACCCCATCGCTTCTACATCTTACGCCAATACTATAGAAGCAAATGCAAGCACTGCAAAGGCTTCACGAAATCGTGGATTGCTTTTAGTTTCAGTGGACTTCAGGGCCGTAACTAGGGGGGAGTCCAGGGGGTTCTGTCATCCCCCGAAATTTTTCATGTGCTCTGCTATTCGGGGATACTACAGTATTTGCACGCCTTCACAGAATTGACCGCCAGTTGCCAAAGGCAGCGGTTCACTCAAACAGACCCCGAAAGATATTCCTGGGTACGGCACTGGTTAACTTCATTATCTCCCATTTGATTTCGGGGCCTTATGAATAATGTATTCCCTAGTTTCCGAGCCTAAACTAGTTCTAAAGGTTACGACAATTTCCAGTGAGGAAATTAAAACTACAGGGGCGTGCAGCACAAAGCGAGTAAGTGTGGACATACCATATATGTCACCAAGGCAGCAGTGAAAGCGCTTATGATGAGGGCATCCATCACTATCTGTAATATCTGAGCTTGCTCTGCATGAGCGATCTTGCATACAGGTCTCCTTGTGTGGCCTATTAACACTTCATTAATATACCAACTGCCTGGAGCATGTAGTTGTAAATTACATAACTATGTGTTTGCTTGCAGTTATGTGTGTATCTTTCTTTCCTTGTCATGCAATGTTTGCCTGCTTATAGTTCAAGTAGACAATGGTGATGCAATGTATGCTTTTGCCCTTCACTTTTTGAAATTGAAGTTTATGGCCATGTAGGTATATAACATGCATAAACAGCAAGGATGGTGAGATAAAACCTGCGTATAGGCAGCTTTTATGGCAAGTCTTCCCGCATACCCAAATAAACCTCTTATTCTTTGCATTTCATGTACATTGTTATTGTTCATTTTGCGCTCTACCCAAGGAAACCACAATATCCGCTTTTTCTTTCACTGCACAGTTTAAGACTATGCAGCAGACACTGCTGTGCTACTTCATGGAGGCAAGCGAATCACTTCTTGACTTCTTCCCACTTCTTTCGAGTTTGCAAAGGAACAGATGAGCGCTGCACTCCAAATGCAAAGAATAAGCGATCGAATCGGGTATTTGAGATGGCTTGCCGCTGTTTTTCCTGACAATGGTCTGCTGTGATGCATTCTTTTTATTTTTTCGAAAATTGTCACTTGAGCGTCTGGTCTAATGTGACAGGGATGACAGACTTCATGATCACTCACCCCGTTCAGTTTCAGTTTTGCCTAGGCCGGGGCTTTGAATTTCGGTGATTATTATCTAAAGTTGTCTGCATTTTTCGTGATTTTTAAAAGAATGGCCTTTTCCTAAATTACCATCTCCTACTACTCTTTCATATAAACAACAGCTCTAAAGTTAAATATAGATATGTTGATTAATGAATTTGTTGTTACTAATGTACTTATATATACAGCAAAGTTTTTCGACTTTGGCTTAAAGTTCATTTGTGAAGATGACAAGGGCCTCACTGTCCTAGTAATTGTATTATAAATCTGCATTTTCTTGAAAAAACACCCGCATAGAGTACAGTTAATAAGAGACCATTCTAGTTCATACATGTCGACTGACATATCCCATGTTTTAGAGAATACTTAATGTGTTGTATACTTTGATTTTAAAGATCGCAATGTTCACTTAATTACGAAAGCTTTTTCAAATTTTCAACTGGCTTCTCTAACATGGTAAAATGATCATGACAGCTTTAATCTTTTTGATGGTGTAGTGGCTGGAAGCATGGCTCACTACCATGCTTTATTCAAGCCTTAAGTTCAAACTTCAACTTTGTGCATTTGTATGAAAATCATCTTTCTGAGAGAATTGATAAAAGTAAAGAAGCCAATAAGTGTAACTTCTGTATTAGAATAAGTAAAAAAATCATCTTCAGCTGTTCTACTCTACTATAAGAAGGACGTGTATGGTTGCATCAAAGTTAGCATTTTGCTTCTTACTTGCCTGTTCATTTAGACTTACTTGCATATTGAACAGTTTTGCTCGGATTGCATCTGCACATTACGAGAATGTTCATTTATGCATGCCTGTTCCTTATGGCCCACATTTGTGTAGCTAAGACAAGAGACCTCGAGTGGGAAGCTCTTCTCGCCATCGAGGAGAAACTGCGCCTCATGGAGAATCAATCATCACTTACGAAGTCACTTGATGAGTCTATGGTTGAGTTCCTTCGCAGTCAGATTGCCAGCAGCCCAGCCGATGCCATCGAGCATGTAACATCTGTGGTGACGACTTCCTTGGCAACTGAGCCATTGTCTAATTGCTCTGATATGAGCAAAACCATGGCCAGTGGCGAGGAAGTGCCAGTCATTGCAGCCACTTACTGTATAACTACAAACGCCTCTGCCTGTCCTTTGGCGACAAAGGACCCAGACACGTCAACGACACTGTCTTCAGACAGCACTGACCTGTTCTCAGGCCAAGATGGCATCTCTCAGGAAGATGACATAGCAGATGACATCCCTCCCCCTCTCCCATCTTCTCCTCCACCTGACATGTGCGACGCTGATGACAGTGCTACTGATGATGGTGTTGATGTGGACGATGCTGGTATCGACGTGGATGACCTTGTTGTGTGCAAAGTTAGGAGAGCAGTTCTCACAAATGGCTTTGAAGGATCAGTGGATGGTACTTCCACCGAGTTTCTTGCACCTAAGTCGGTAGAAGAAGGTACAAGCGGTCTGTCATCTGAAGAAGAGGTTGGAGCCAATGTTCGTGGGAGCCAAATCTCAACCTGGAGTGGCACGTTGGGAGTGGATGGCTCGATGGTGTTTAGTAGCACTCCCAATGGTGCTCCAAGAGCTGACCAAAATGGCAACATCCATCACGATGGTGAGAGTCCTCCCACAACTCTTTTTCCAGGAAGTTTCACAGGCCTTCTCTTCTGTCTTCTGAAAGGCACATTTCGGCGCTGGCTACTGTCTCCTTTGCGTGTGTCTCTGCGTTTGTGCACTACGTGGTTGCCTGCATTGTAGCTGTGCCTGCGTGTATATGTGTGCCTCTTGTGTACTCTGCCCTGTGAGCACCTGCACCTGCCCTGCCCATCCATGGCCTGTGTTTGGGACAGTGTTGTGACGGCACGATGCCTGGGTCGCATGTGGGTGTCTTCTGCAATGGTGCATGTGGCATGTCTGACACTCCTCACATCTACGTGACCTTGGCCATGGCTGCCATGCCTGCTTCTGCAACTAACATTTCCACCTGCTGTGTTTACGATCTAGCTGCCTCTCAAACTGTGTCTCATTTTGCAGAATCCGAGAAGAGAAGGTGTAAGTTTGGAGAGCTGCGAAAGTTAAATTTGTTGGCAGCTGATGTTTCAAAGCAACAATGCTCTGAAAAGTGTTTTGGACGAAGGAATGTGAGAAAGTTGAGATATCCGCGTTGTGTTCTCACAGTAGATGTAGACGGAAAGAAATAAACAAAATACAGTGAAACCTCGTTAGACCGTAGTTGGCCGGGAATGACGTTTTGGTACGCATTAAGCGATGTACGAATTAACCGTCAGTGCCAGTTTAGCGGCTACTTACCGGTCAGAAAAGAAGGCCACAATCCTCACAAACACGCGCGCGCACACACGCCGGCACGCCAGCTTTATTTATGGACAGGCAGCAAAAAAATCTGTGATCTTCACTTGCCGCCGTGGTGGCCTTGCCTCGACGACGGCATCTTCGAAGTCGGTGAGGCCGCGAGCCAGCCGGTCCATTAGGCCACGCTTCTCGGCGAAGGCTCGCATCACAGTCACAGCACGCGCAGCTTCGGATAACGAGGGGCCGTCGTCCACTTCGACATCGCCCTCCTCCTCACTTTCGCTTGAATCGGGACGAGGTGCGATGGCGGCAACAATGTCGCTGTCGGAAAAGTCCGGGGATGTAAGGACGTCTCCGTCCACATCTCGGAAAGTGCCGAAGTTGAACTTGTCGACTCCCTCTCCTTGCCGCTCGAGCACCTCAACAAGGAGGCTCTCGCAGTCTTCGGTGTCCTCACCATCCTCGTTATCCTCCATGTTCTCGTCGTTGCCTTCTTCTGGCATCTTGAATTGTGCTCGCGCGAAACAGTTCCGTATCGTTGCAGGCTGCACCTGCATCCATGAGTGTGCAAGCAGGTGTATAGCACCCAGGAGGTCTATACTGTACGTTTTGGCACTCTCCATGGCGATCAACATCCGCCGCAAAAGATTTTTGCGGTAAATCTGTTTGACAGAGCGGATGATGCCCTGATCGAGGGGCTGGGCGAGCGCTGTCGTGTTGGGCGGCAAAAACAACAGCTTAATAGCCGACAGGTTACCCACATCGACATGCGCCGACGCATTGTCAAGCACTATCAAAATGCTCCTTTTCTTGGCAGCAAAACGGCGGTCCAGCTGGCGCACGTACTCCTCGAACAGCTGGGCTGTCATCCAGGCTTTTTTGTTGTGCTTGTAAACAACACCGGATGGCAGCCGAGCGCCTTTGAAGCACCGCGGGTTTCCATACTTGCCAATGACCATCAGTGGCAGCTTCTCACTACCGGTCATATTTACGCCAAAAGCGACCGATATGCGATTTTTGGCGTGTTTCCCGCCGGTGCACGTCTCATTTTTAAATGCCAATGTCCTATTTGGAAGAAGGCAATAAAAAAGTGCCGACTCATCAAAATTAAAAATGTCGGCGGCATCGTAGGCTGTCAAGGCTTCCTGCAAAACGGTGTCCTGCCATTCAACAGCGCCTTCTTTGTCTGCTGCAGCAGCCTCACCACAAACAACCTTCCCCACGATGCCGTAGCGGGCTTTAAACCGCGACAACCAGCCGTTGCTGCAGGCAAAACCGGGGCAGTTCAGCTGATCTGCGAAAGTTAGGGCTTTTTCGGTCAGAAGGGGTCCGCTAACCGGCAGGTTCATGCTCCGCGCCTTCTTCAGCCAGAGAAGCAGGGCCTTTTCCACTTCGGGATAAGCTGAGTCTCTCATGCGGCACCTCTTCAAATCGCTGTCTGTGCCTCCCGTCAACTTTTCGCGAGCGTTCCAAATTCCGCATACAGTAGTCAGCGGCAAGTTCTTATCGCGGGCTACCGCAGATTTCTTGGCCCCATTTTCAATAGTGCGAATGATTTCAAGTTTTTCCTTTACGCTCAAGACGTGGTACTTCGGCATAGTAAGAAGTTTTAGTGTGCGAATTTAATCGCACCACTCGCGCACAACACAAGAATAAAAAAAACAACAAAAAAAAAAAAACACAACACGCCGCACAAGAACGTAAGTAACGCAACACCACCACACCGCCGCCACGACCAACACTGCGGGAAAGTGAGGACTAACGACCGAATAAAGAAACGAGCTCAGCCTGGCTCGACGCTGTGGAGCCGTTGAGAATACGTACTTGGCTTGGATTGAAAGCGACAGCGAATTTGCACCCCCTACCGGGACCAGCAATCGAGAATTCCTAGGTTACCAAAAACCGATCTTGAAGGCCATGCTCTTGCACAATGGGATCGGCAACAGACGTACGCGCAAAAAATACGTCATCGTGGCCATGTTGTGACGTCACTATCGCTGGTGGTTGTTGTCCGATCGCCACATGGAGTGTATCGACCGTCTGTGCGCACGAAATTTTGCCGATTTTCGGCCTGTGCATGGATAAAGAGAACGAAAATAGTACGTACTAACCGTACATAACACCACAAGCGACTACGGCTTAAGCGGTCAGCCAATACATGGGGTTCAATGGAGATAGGGCGGGGGATTCCTCGCTACTACGTATAAACCGCAGTTACATATTAAGCGGGTACGTATTAAAGAGGTTTGACTGTAAATAGAAAAATATACTTGTTTGCATGGTGTGCATGTATTGTAAGCATTAATTGACGCATTAAGAGAAAGTACCTAATCAGAATGCTTGTTAGATGTGTGAATTAGCATGAAATTTTGATGGGTAATCACTTGGTAGCCGTTTTTTGTGCTTGGAGTATTCTGGAATCTGAATAATATCACTGTTGTAAACGCAGCTGATCAAAGGTACGAAGCAATTTATCAAAGCAGTTTTGGAATTGCTGGCATATTACTTTATGCAAACACTTCATGCAACTCAAGAAATTGTGCACAAAAGTGTCCTAGTTTTTCTAATTTTTTGTTTATACCTGTCAGTGAACTTTGTTGCTGAAAACTTTAAGATCAGCTGATATTTTCTTACCGGTCAGTCTTTCAGTGCCAAAACAAGTTTTCATTCACAATTTTTTTGCTATGTGAAAATGGAGAAATGGCAGTTTTAAGGATGGTAGAAAAAAGATCTTTACTTCCTCTGCTGGGGCACATATATACACTTCAATGATTCATGTCACTGCATAAGATAACACAGATGAATGTGTAAAGCCATGCAACAGGATGACATTGAATATCAATAGCTTAACTCATTACTGGCACAACTTCAAGAACATACTGGCTTCGATTATGCACTTAGAGAAGGGTAAAAGTTTCCCTTTTTGACGTAAGCTCAATGCATTCTTCGATGCATTAAGCAGGAATATATATTTCTGTAAACAGAGGTTGCAATGTAGTCGAATACTTAGGCAAATTATAACTTAATACTTTCATTGCTCTTTTGGAGCTGAAGAGCTTGAGTCCAGTTTATTTTTTTACTCACATGTAAGGGCAAGTTTACTGGAAGACATACTGAAAGAATAGTAAAAAGGAATGGATAAGCCCTTTGATGCCCTAAATACAGCTTCAAGGAAATGCTGACATGCATAGAATGGACAGGATAGAACATTGTGCTATTAGTTAAAAAAACACCTATTTGTAGCTGAATAATAGTTGTGGCTTCACAGCAACATTGGGCACCTGTATAACTTGTATTAACCACTTCTGAAGACGTTTAAGAACATACCTTTCCATAGTTGTTGCCAGCAGTATCTTGCGGCAAGGAGTGTTGAAGAGAAAAAAAAAAGCTTTCAGGCTTTTTTGTGAGCATCACATGGTTAATGAGGTTGGTCCAGACAAGTGCTGAGCCGCAAATGTCTGCTTTTAGGATTTTAACAAAAGCTTAGGCAAGGACAAATTTTTTTACTTGAGTCTTTTTATATGTACTGAATATATATTAAAGCAGCAATAAAATATGTTTATGCGTCTCGACCAAGTATAGTACATGGTTTTTAGAGTTCTATACAATGAGTACACTGCTGTTGGGGAAAGGAAGTAACACTGTATGGGAAACGATTTTAACTCCAACCAAAAAGTATGTGAAGATGCATAAACCCGACATACCCAACCAGACAGACATCTGTCGAATGTTTACATACAAGTAACACTGCATATGCTTGTTTATGTTTTACAAGTGTGTTGACAATAGTTTCATGTCAGTGCTATGCCCCACTGTGCACAATCAAAACTTTAAGTGATTAGATAAAGTAGCAAGGATGTAATAATAGAATAGGAACTGATAGCATGCAAATTAATTTGGCAAGGGAATATCCCAAGCTGGCAGACATTTCTCCTCACTTGGAACACTCCTTGGTAATGCTTGGCCCGTGTGCCACAAAATCCTGCATACAATCATGATTTATAAGAAGTGGCAGCATGCTGCAGCTATAAGAGAAATACATAAATCCCACTATGTGCAAGTGCTAAGATCGTTTTGCTGTTTTGTTCAATACCATGGAATTTATGTCTAGTCTGGTTTGTTTATTGTAAATTTCCGAGATGTCTCTTGCACCACTCTTACGCAATTTGTATTGAGCAAGGTTGATGATTTTATTAGCACATTCTCACGTGGGCTTCATTATTGTTCCGTAATTTGTTTTCTTTTGCTTGATGAACATAATATGAATTTCAGTTGATCACAAGCTTATTTTTGGTGCTTGTTTCATTTAAAACAGATGGTGGATCACTCGCAGAAGCAGCTCTTAAGGAGCTGGAAGCCAAAAATAGGAGCCCCACAGCAACAAAGAGCACACTTATCATCCACAGTGTTCAAAGGGTGAGTGCATGATGGCATTATACAGGACTGTAAGCACTAAGCCTAACAAGGCTGCTTGTGCTCGTTACATACATGCTACGTTTGGTCTTACCAGTTGACATATATTTTTTGATCGACTAACAGTCAATAGCATTGGCATGCATTAATTGCATTTGCTGCAAAGTCGCATGGTGTGGTGCTGTGTAATATATACTTCAAAAGGCCGTCACTAATTTGTGGCTATGTTAGCCTGTTGTGGACAGTAGTAATTAAACAAGATGAACATCTGAACTGAGTATCTCGATGCCCATGACCACAGTGTTCTTCAGCACAGTGACGTTGCTACAAGTGTGGTCAGCCTGGCAGACCTGAATCAACACAGAACTCGGCAATGCTAACATCGATTCCATACACAAAATGTCAAGTAGCTTATTGACACATGTAAGAGCTGCTCCCCCAACTTTCTAGTTAAAAAAAAAACAAAATTCCACCACTCACAAATTATGAGAAACAGAACTTTCGACCTATGTATTCCAAATGGCAACATATATGCACAAATTTGCTAGCGAACTAAGTAGCAATAAGAAAGATGAGCAGTCGGCTGCATGAAATAATTACTTCATTATGAACAAAAATAGGCTTGGCTTTTGAGATGTGTGATAATGAAAGAGTGCAGGGGATTAACACGCATTTCACATTTGCAGTCAACAAATTTAAAACAAACAACTTGATCCTTGTAAGGGATGTATCCTGTCAAAATAGCGAAACAAATGTATGGCTTTTGCACAAGCCTATACAGTATACCCATTGCTTTTGTAGACTGAACTGTCTTACATGCGGAGCCAGTGGACCTGTATATCGAAGTCAAAGTCGACAGCTGCTGAGGGAAACTGTGATTTGGCTAAAAAAATAATTTGTGTTCTTTTGCTGTGAAAACAGTGTTTCAACAAAAACCATATTTTAACAGCTAGTTCTTGTCAAGGTTGCTTAATTATGGCCTTTATGGTTATAATGGCCTTGCTCATATTGAAGTTTAGCATCTGTCATTTTATCACAGCCTTTTCAATGGTGACTTGTCTGCTATCAAATAAAGTCTGCCACTTTTAAATTAGAATATATTTTGTCAAAGTTTTACACACTCTGCAATATAAGGATTAACAGCAAATGTTTCTGCCTATATATTCAACTGCCCCTTAGACGTAAACATTTCATCAGGATACTAGTAAAGCTGGAGTACCAAGCATTATGCTCTAATCAGGAGGTTCTTGAAATTCAGTTGTGGTGGTAAAGGAGAAATTAAGGCATACACCAGTGAGACCATATCTCTTGATGCAAAGTGCGAGCGCTGATCGTGAGCTGTAAGTGCCGCGCCTGTTTGCCTATTTCTAGCTGTACCAGCTGTCTGCCTACTACCATACGTTGTCACTAAACCTCCTTTCACAGTTATGAAAGGGGATAAACACGTCCCTACTTGGTACCAAAGTGTCTTCCTTAACAAAAAACTTGGGTGCTCTTTATGTTAACTGAGTCATCAGCATCCAAATGCTGGTGCAATCTTCCACACGGCTTTCCCCTCTATTTCATCATTCCTGAAATTCACTCAATGTACTGCACCATGCTCTGCCCCTTATTACACTGAGCTTTTGTATCCATCACTTGCCCTAAAGTCCAGTATTGGCATACTACATGGTATCGTGACCCTCAACTAGAAGGTTCCACTACTGCAATCTTTTATCTGATCTTGTCACCTTAGTGACGAAATGTAAAGTATTCTGCTGAGCTGTGCTCTTTCTTAGCAGTGTAAAGAAATTGGGGGGGTCTTGTAAAGTTAAAATGCAGCTTGGCAGTCTCTTGTGCAATATTGCTGACTTTTAGCAAAATGTGCAGGCTCAACGTCTGGCTTAGGTGCTTAAAACACTAATATGTCGAGAAGGTTGAAAATGTTTGTCTCGTGTTTGAAGTGTTTTTGGGCTGCTTTAGTGCATCCACTTTGCAGTACCATGCACGATACAGTGCATCTCATACGGAGCCATATTTTTATGCAAGAGCTATGTACAAAAGTCTGAGATTTAATCTAACAAAAGTAAACTACGCAAAAGCCTTATGCATGTTGTTTAAGTCTTCTGTGTGTTTTCTGATGTGTGTGCCCCATTCTTTTGTATGTGCCTGAATAGGAAGCTGCTGTTCCAAGTTTAAAGGTATGTTCTCATCTCTTGCATGTGTTTTTGATGGTCTTTATTAACCAACTAACACTTTAAAAACATACATTTATACATATGTGACACTTTGTTACATTTTATTAGGTGACGAAAGGAGTCTTAGAGAAATTATTTCGATAGACAGTAGGAACATGGCATTCTCTTTGTTAAATTTATGACAGCCTATTTGCCATTTTAAATTTGTAAAGATGTATTAATGTGTTTTTTTAACAGAAGCACAAGTCTTTCACACAGGCCCGTAGCCAGAGGGAAGGGGGGCAACCCCTCCTTGAACTACGGGGCGACGGGGTGTTTTACAAAGAATAAATTGTAAATATACGAGTTTGGACTCGGCCTTCAAATAGTGCCCCCCCCCCCCCCCCCCACTGAAAACAATTTCTAGCTACGGGCCTACTTTTACATGGACACAAAAACAATGCCGAGCACACTTTATGTATTTTTACCATTGCATTTTAATATGGCTGTTAGGCAGAATTTTGAAAGATACCACTCTTGGAGCTGACTTATTGCATAAGTCAGGTTCGTGACCATCTTTTCATATCGAGTACCCTTGTCTGAATGTATAACAGCATTTATGATCCAGAAACCATTCTAGAAGATGATTTTGAAAGTAAATTTTTTCTAAATGCAGCATCTGACTAAACGTTCGTTGGCTCAGCTTGAGAGCTAGTTAGCAAGTCAAGTGCAGGCACATAAAGTGTTAAAAAAGCATTCTGCCATTTCTTTACTTGATCTGGTCACAAGTGACTGTTCATATAGGAAAGCAAGTTTATAAATTACTGTACTGTCCTGTAACACAATCATGCAAGAGCGCTCCAAATGAATGCCACTCTATGTTACTAATTTATGTAAATGGTGATTGAAGAAAAGCCAAATGTTTTATGCACAGAAACAATTTGGTCTGTCTTTACAACAGCTTACAGCATATGTAATCATTTTGACTAGTGCATAACATGTTCTTATGAACGGTTTTGCTATACACTATTCATCTCTATAGGTGAAAATCGACAAGCAAGGACATTGGCATGAGGTTTCCCAGGTACTGAGTCAAACGTGCTTTTTCACAAATGGCACTCGTTCAGAGTGGCCTACTGCTTTTTCATAACAGCTTATTTTGATGCCGTGCTGTACCTCCCAACGTTACCAGCAATGCACTTTATTCATTTGCTGCTTTTAAGCCTGCCTAATGGAGTTCATAATGCTGCTTGTACTTGGTTCTCGTAAGTTATATAGTTCTTCACATCAAGCAAATACGTACAGCTTAGAATGGTAGTAGATGCAGAGTCACATAAGTCTGCAGGCTTATATTTATCCCTTTCAGATGCCACCTATGAAGCACTGTTTTTAATTGCATCAAACTGATACAACATTATTTCATGGCACTCAATATTCTACTTGAACAAAAATAATGTCATAATATGTTCATTCATGTGTAATAAACACTAAACAATTATCATTAACTACCTACACTCAAACCTTGATATAACGAACCTGGATATAACAAAATATTGGTTATAACAAAGTAAATGAAAAAAGTCTCGCAATAGCTATACTGTTAAGATTTTACCTTTATAAGAAACTTTCTGATATAACGAACTTATTTTAGTGTATGATGCAACTTTGTTATAATGACATTTGAGTACTGTATTCACTATCATGTCACTCGTGCTCCGTTTTTGCATAAATGGAATCAAATATTTAAATAAAAATGGAATGCGAACTTATTTTTGAAGTCGTTCATTTTGAGCCACAAAAAATTGACTTTTTTCATAGCTTGCAGGAAGTGGCACGTAAAACTATTCGTCGAACATGGTAGTGCCTTCAGCAAAGTGACTATATTCAACAATACACTGGAAAATTAAGTTAATTGGAAGACACATTTGGTATGCCGGAGATTCAGTTCATCAAAAAGTCAATGTACAGGGCACTTTCTTAGTCACTGGTCAATACAACTAGCAAGAACAGTCAATCTATACGATTGTGTACAAAGCAACACAGAGAATTAGCAAAAAAAAGTTTGCCACTGAATGTAAGCCGCCTTATCAAAAAGACTATCAGGGTCAGTTGCTCAAAAGGATTAAATTATTTGTTGACTGCCGAGTCAAGGAGGTGCTTAAAATAAACACTTGAAAAATTTTTTAGGGGTGTCTTTATGGGGCAACAAAAAAGAGTTGTGCTCCTAAGAATGCATGCAGAGGGTTTTCAGTTTTTTAAGGACATTGGAATTTGGGATACTCATGATGAAAATAAAATAGCCAGACATAAAAGCTCTGGACCTTGCACTTTGGGCTGATACTTTACCGATTTATAGCATACTATGAAATGAAATAAAATGCAATTACCCGCGGTGTGTACGTGATGCCATTCAAGAAAGTTTTATAACACTTTATGTTTACGGTAATGTTAGGATGACACCACAAGAGCTCTCACTAACAGTTCTAACATATGTGCATGTGTCAAAATGCATGTCATATTTTAATTATAATCACAGTTACAACGTATTGTGAGCATAGCAGTGCTTATTTTGTTTGTTTTTGTTTTTTTTAGATGTTTTAGTTGTTGCAACTTGGGTTTCTGAGGCCGACGAATCCAATTTGAATTATTATTGATTGTCAAGGCCTTTAGTGTTGCAACCGTGGGTCGTACCACTGAAAGCAGATGTAATTTAGACAGGTCTGAAAATGTCACAAACTGTATTTTCCTCAGATTTTCCACCTTATGTAATGTTTTAATTAACATATAAAATAAGCTCAAGTGCACTTTTTGGCGCTTTTTACTTTTCCTCAGGCTGAAAATCTAAGAACATTGTAACCTTGAAATGCTCTTAGCACCCCTTTCAGCTCTGATTGCAACGTGGTTGGCATCCTTGCTTACTCCTAAAGGACATCACAGTTCTACTTGTGCAATGTTTTGCTCAGTGTTCACTTGTAATGTAAGAGCAATGCACATAAGGTAGGATGGGCAGGCTTAAGATGCGATAAAAAAACAAAAACAAGAGAATTTAATTTGTAAATTACTCTTGTGCAGTATTAAAAAGCTACTCTCATAAAGAAAGGACACTGCATAAGCCGGAATAGATGCCAAATATGGTGAACACATTATTAATGAGAACTAATTGACAATGATGCCAAGGGAAGTACGGGGGATGTCATCAGAAGTAATTGTAATGCAAGTGTGAAGAAAGAAAAGCGCACTAAAAGGTAACTTGACACTGGTAGGGAATGAACTTGCGACCTTAGAATAATGCATTCGATGCTCTACTACTGAGCTACAGTAGCTGTCATCCCTCCAAGCACTTTATTGGTATATAGTATGTGCACTAAAACGTGGTAGCGTCAGTCAGTGCCACCTGTTTCCATTTATGCCGTATGTGAAACACTCTTCTTTGTTTGTTGGCGTGACGTAGTATGTGATCTTTATAACGAACTGGCTGCTAATCAATAATCTTTTGTGTACTACCTGAAGGCATCAAGTCTCTCAGAACGAGATCCTCGCTATGGATTAATGAAATAAATGTGAATTTAAGGGCTTGTGCGAAGGAAATTTCATATCAGTTAGACGTTGCGTATGTCTCTACTTTGTGTCCCTGTAATATGTCTGACCTGTAGGCGCAATACTAGCACAACCAGTACTATTATGCTCAACCAGAATTATTTTTGAAATAATTTATGCAATTTTGTTCTTTTAGTTGATTTACATGCTGCTTATTACTGCTTTGCTTCACATGGTACACTAGGTCTATTTGGCACTTTAGTATATTTCACTGTGGCTCTGAAAATTCCAATCCTTATGGTTGTCATGTGAATGCAGGTGGATGACACATCACTCTCCATTTCACCAAGCAGCCTGCGAAAGCAGAACCAGCACTCTGGTGACAGGAGTGTCTCTTCGTCATGCAGCGAAGCCGAAGGAGAAGGTGAACTTACCTTCCATCTTTTCTATTCAACATGTGAGGAATCTGAGACGAGTCACAAGTAAACATGTCATGACATTCAGTTTTAGTTTATTATTTGTTCATACAGTTATTTATGATATATGATATACAGGCATTTGTTTTTCAATTATGTTTCACTCTTCAATTACTGGTTGATGTAGGAGGAGTACTAAATTTATTTGAATAAAAATGTTTGGATGGTCTTTTCACTTTATTTCACTATTGTTATCAATATATACGGTATGTTGTAATGTTTATTGTATGTTTATGCATTAAATGAAAGAGATGTGGTTTGGCCACTGAGCTAATGATCGCATTTATGCATGTGATCATACGAATTCAGAACATGGGCACTTTGGCATTTGTGTAAACTTAGTTATGTCATTAGGATTTCTCCTTCTTTCCTCCTAACACTTTTCTCTATGTAAACTATACAGTATTAACTGCTGTGTAAGATCCATCAAAAACTGTCTTTATATAATAATGTATTTATCTCAGCATTCTGATGCACAGAAATTCAACTGCATGGTTCTCTAATGTGGTTGTCTCCAATACCGCAGGTGGCCCAGAAAAACCGAAGAAACGAACGTTACTGGGCAAAATACGGAAGCGGCTGAGCTTCAAGAAGAACCGCTCCAAGTCAATGGAAGCTCGACCAGATGCTGACGCGCACAGCCACAGTAGCAGCCGTAGTGTCTCCACTGACCGTGCCAAGTCGGTGCCACTTGGAAGTAAGTGTCCTTAAGCGCAATATTTCTGTCTGCAGCCTGTTTTTTGCTGTGCACGTGTTTCAACAGGGCTGGCCTGAATGCACACTCCCACAGCAGCTTCGCCAAACTATGCCTTATTTTGTTTCTTGCACAAAGCAAACACTGCATTGCGCAGAGTTTGCTTAAAACCCGCATTGCTTAAAACCTGCATTACACAGGTTTTAAGAGTGTGCAGGAGAATCAACGTATGCACTGCTATGTGGGGATTGCAGAATGGGCACCTGTTGTCGTAAGTTCAGCAACCTTGCTATAGATTATAGATTGGTTTGATGTGCCACACAAAGTTTATTGCTGAGGTCAAAAGACACATTATCATCAATTTTTTCAAAAAAAGCGTTGAAAAGCTCGTTTCGCAGAAATTTCAGTGTCAGCATCTGCATTGGTGACTCATTGTTTTTTGGGAGTAAGAATGATCATCCGGTCTGTGACTGAAAATTTGAGAAAAGTGCAAATAAAATAAATAATAAAGATCTTTGGGTCCAAGTGGGAATCAAACTCTGGCCGTCTGCGTGGCAAATAGGTGTTCTGCCAGAGAGCCATACTACTTCTTGAAACTACCTTGGAAAAAAAGACTCCAAAGAATGCTATGCAGTAGAATGAGGCTCCTTAACACGTGTGCAGAAGCGTAGATTTGTGCAGGCATGAAAACATGTTGTGCAAACAGGGGTTGTTTGAAGGTCCACACATTACAAAGCACTTAGACATATCTAGTGATCATCAGTAGCAGCAAAAGCATCAAAATAGGGAATAGCAATGTAGGTTCGTGTGCTGTCGTACAGACACAAAGTGTGCCCTTCACTTACTTGCAAAAGGAATAATAATGATGTGGGGGGAATTTAACACCTTTCTAGGATAGTTTGAAATGGCCAATGTTACGTGCACAGTAATTCGTTTTTTTTAAGTACCTTTGAGGCATGATACAAGAACCGAAGCGAGGTTTGTGATTGAGAAGGCGATGCACACGAGGCCAGATTACGCTATCGCACTCTACTTTTGCAGGCGAAGCTCAACAGTGCCAGTTTTTTTTCTATGCTGCCATTTTTATTTAAGAAATATTAAGTGGAGCTTACAATTACTTGATTGAAGTTTCAGTATTGGTGCAAAGCAAGATAAATTTGTTGGAGCTAGTCCGTATGCAGTGGCACAATTCATTTGGAGGTTTCCAGCATATAAATGCTATATCATGTCGCATAAACCTTTTTTTTTTGGTGAACAATTGATTCTGCGAGGCAGTGTTGCTGTTTAGCTGCATAGTCAAGCATGCAGAATTGTAGAGTTCAGCATTTATTTAAGTGTAATTTTGATTAAATAATTGCACTAGTGGCACATATAATCCCAATGATGATCCTCCAGAAATGTAGAAATTGCCCGTTTTAATGAGTGTCATTGGAAGAAGCACACATAGGAAATATTCTGTGACCGCTTTAAACATCAGAAATTTCATTGTTTGTTGGGTCCGACTAGAACGGCCACAATGCATCAAGTAGCTGTTGCTTTCATTATTAGAGATAACATCATCCAAATTACGATGCATATCAAATCATGCAGATCATTACTGAGTTATTGGAACTTTAAAGCTTACATGAAACCTATTTCTCACTATGTGTTTTTGTCAGAATATTTGAGCTGCACACATTTTAAAGGAACATTTGTTATGTGTACATTGACTTTGTCTCCAGATTATAGTTCATTTTGTGGCTTTTTATTACTTAGTATATTAAGGCTATAATAAAATCACTTTGATATGTACAGCCCCAGTGCTTAAACAATCATTTTGTTACGGTTGTACTTAGAACACCGACATATGATAGCTGTGCTGCTGTTACGATTTCTAAAAAACCTGTAGGTGACAGAGTGTTACTGATGTATGAAATTATAAAAAAAAGGCATTCAAATAGGATTCTTTCTAATTGATATGTTTACTGAACCGACATGGAAAGCTTGGCTAGTGAAAAATCTAGCTTATTTCGCAAAAGACACTGATCCATGCACACAACATTTATGTTTGGTTCATGCTCTGTACAAGGCTTGACTATTACTGCAGTGAATTTCCTACAGCATTGTGTGCTTTCCTTGCAACTTATCAGAATGAGTCGTCGCAAGCTGATCTTTCATTTCAGCAAGCAGCAGTTTTCATAAAGGTGCAAAGTATGCACATAGCCTTCTCTGCGTCTCATTTGCTCTTGCACTAGTAGAGGGAATTATAATACACAAATACATATGTATACTGCTCAAAGTTGCAAACCATGAGGCATTATTTTAATTTAACTGCGCTACTCTTTTGCTTCCCACTGCCGGAAATAGCTCAATAATGAAGATCCATCATGCTTTGTTAAGGGCAAAAACAAAAGAAGTGGGTGGTTAATCTTCATGTAAAGCAGTTGATCTGTGAACACTTGCTTCTACGCGGGCTCTGTGAAATGTGGCCAGTGCATTGCACGATTGTTTGTTTGAGCAGCACTGCAGCACAAAATTGCTTTTTTGCACAGATATCTCTCGTTCTCTCGTTCACTCTTGCAGTCTGCAGTGTGATGGTATAAACCGCCTTTCTATACTCTTTCTTCACCACAGCACATTTCTTGAACCACGAACCCCCTTTGACGTTCCATCTCCGTAGTTCCCTTCAGTATTGCCAAAGCTACAAGGTGTAGTGGGGGTCAACAGTGTGTTGTGCCACTTTGGAAAAGTAACATTAATGAAAAGCTTGCTTCTGTATGGGCCAGAAGTTCTATAAGATGGAGGTTTGCTGTAATGAGAAATCTTTGAATGCGAAATGTTACTGGAAGAAACATTTCAAGAAGGGTGCCCATCTTTATCAGTGCTGCTGAATTAATAAGCGGAAATCTTTTTGTCCAAATTTTGGTTAGAGCCAATACTTTCAACAATTCTCCATCCCATCAAGCTTGTTTTGGAGTATTACTTAATGTGGTCTAACCAGCCTACTGACACTGAGGAATATCTCACTGCATGTATCGCCTAAACATTGCTTAAACTATATGGTATATTACATTTGGTTGTTTCCTTACAGCGTGCTTTAATTTTTGCTTGTATCTAACATCGACTTCATCCATTGAGCACAGATGTGATGTAAAGTAAATGAATACCATACACATGTCTGTACTAATATGGAGGCTTGAGTGCTTGACCTGATTTCTGGATGCTTTGGTGCAAGAACACATAGTGTAAACAGGTAACAGGACATTCATAGATGTAAACAATTCTGTGTGCTAACAGTCGTTTGTATATATATCACACTAACGTAATGTATCTGTGTTGCGTGTTGAGACTCTCTGACCAAGAATAATGTAATGCTGTTAAATTAAAAGGTTATGCAATCGAATTTCAAGGCTATAACAAATCTCTTGCGGGTTTCTTATGTAAGCAAGGACATTCGACATGAATGTTTGGACACAGCCAACATTTCGTATAAATTTTAATTCACTGTCAAAGTGTACCTAAACGCTCATTCTCCCAATCAAGGCTTATCATTGGTGCATCCATCACTGACGTAGCTCTACAAAAAGGGCAGCAAAAGTTGCAGTGACATCACTTCAAATCTGTGTGAGCGTGGGCGTGCACAGGGCTCCTCCCTTCAGTGGAGACGTATGTTTGTTGTAGCACCCACCCTTCTCCTATTATGTCGATGTGTGGGCCTGGCTTTGTGCTGCCCCTCTTAGGTGACTAGGGGGGGCCAACAGATATGCAAGTGCATGGCAGCATTATTCAAGTTCACCGCTGACTTACTGTAGCTTACACACTGCTAATGGGAATTACAGAGATACTGCATATGTTTTAAATCTTGCCAGTTGAGACATGCACGAAACGGACGACATGATGCATCGTTATTTCCTTGACATACTTCCTCTCCTCTCCTTTTTCAAGAGCGTTTCACACCAACTTCTTGGTGTGCTCTTGTCATTGTCTCAGAGGCATTTAACAATTAACTTAAGACTGAAACATTTACAAGCTACCTGTCGTTGGCTTGTCTCTAGAACAACATAATCCAATGATGTGGATTCATCCTAGGCTCATATTTTGTAGGTAATGAGCCATTTCAGAAGCGGAGAGATTTAAAGAGAAAATGCAGAGTGGATTTACCCGCCGGTACATCACGCAACTGCTTTTTCTTCTTTTTTTTCTGCATTGATTTGAAGCCATGTGCGTGCACCTGCACAACTTTTTTTAATATTTCTGTAGTAGAAATAAGTGTAAAGAGAGTTTATGGTTGCTTATGGGGATGAACACCTTGTTAGCTAAAGAGTGTTATGCTAGAAATGGCTTTAAGCTTAGCAAAGGTAACAGTCTCTATTGCCTCTGTGAGTAAATTTTAAGTTCTGATTTCTGGTTCATATTTACATGTAACTTTTTTTTTTTTCAAAGTGCTCGTCTGTGTGCACATCCTAATGTATGAGGACCATGAACGGCAAAAGACAGCCTTAAAAAATTCTGGCCATTTGTATTTGCATTTAGTTCATTTTCCCCTAAGGTATGCTTTGTTGCATGCTTTCCTGTGCCACAGCCACCAGAAATTGTGCATTCTTAGTTCTTAATGTGTTCTGCAATATAATCAGCTCATGTACTTCATGAGGGTACGTGAATGATGATTTTTGTGGAAGGAACCTCGTCAGTTTTTGGCTTTATTATGATGATTGATAAACATCTACATCTCCAAATTAATGACTGTATTGAATTTTTTGATTCCGCATGCATTTCTGAGATGTTGTTGCATAAAAGGTAAGGCCTAAATTTTCTTGGACCATGCATTTCTTCTCTGGGTGTATGTACTGAGCAACGAGCACACATGGCGAACTTCTGCACATTTTGACCGTGCACCATCACATCTTGAAATGTGCCTCATGCTCACTTACTATTTTATGCACAAACTAATGATTAGTACTAACTTCGGCACTGTGAAACCTTAGTTTATAAGCAAAAGGCCATGAGGAAATGTCAGTATGGCATTACAAGTCATGTTTCATTTTTGCTAATGTAACCATTGTAATTGAAAACCATAACAATCCACTGCATCTGCATGCCATCGTAGGAATCGCAGTCTTTGAACACAAATTTTGAAGCAGACACCACTGTTTACTAACTTTTCACTATCATCAAATCTAACAGAACATTTTATCATTGAAATGATGACAAGTGTGGCAGAAATGACACAAGTTTGAGCATGTTAATTGGTATTCTCTTTCAGCCTCTCTTAGTGCAGTGCACAGCACAAAGATGAAAGCAGGGGCTAACTTTCAGCAGATTTACTTTCAGAAGCTTCTGATATATGTCGATGAATAACAGCATGCACAAATGAATTTGTAACAGTTGCTCCTTTCTTTGTAGCCGATTGAGCAGCTATAGCTTTAGGACCATGTTTCTATTCTCCATTATTTGTCTTGGTGCTCCTTGACTTTTACTCGAGTTATCCTACCAAAAAGCCCTTTTTGTCTTACTGGCGCTGGGATCAGTATGTGAGACATAAAATGAACAAAGGTACAATGAAAAATGCTTTGCATCAGGGATACAATACTTTTTATTGCGACCCGGAAAAGATGCATGCCCGCTTTTATGAGTGAATTTCTTTCATGAAGGGTTACCCCTTCATCAAGCATATCAAGTTGTTGGCTTGCATAGTTGAAGCTTAAAAGTGTCGAGTGGGATTTCTAAACATGTGTTTGTGTGTAGAGAATCGGCCTGATATACTGAGGAAACTGGATCTGAGACCAACTAGTGAACATGTATAACTTTTTTTATTGTTTCATGTGCTTTAATGATGCCATGTAATTGTAGCTAGACATCAGAATACTGAATTGTGGTTAGTAATTTTGAAACTGATGATGATATTACTGTAATGCACCAATAGGTTGTTCCACTTGGACCCCAGTATTGTGAAAGTTGTGCAGTAAAATATACAACTGCAGTGATAATTTCATCTCTTTATTCCTATCTTTCGTCACATTATTTAAAAACAATACCCTAAATGTACGTACGTTACCTAGCTGACTGGTTGTTTTGGTACAGAACTATTTAAAGCACGTTTTTGCAATTTTCAATGATTGCATGACAGCCACTACCTCTTTCTTGCTTCCTTGTCTCATTTTGGTTGATGGCCATGCATTTCTGTAATGACACAAGTGAAAGAAAGCAAAAGTGCCTGGAGAAGCTGTGATGCTGTTTCCACGACTTACAAGTAGCAGTTGAGCTTCAAACTCCATTATTGAACATGAGGAATTACATACTGACCAGACAAAATTTTTAACAACCATGTGATAATGCAGGACCTGGCAAGAATCCTACAGTTCACTCCAGCGGGCACAAACTTCATATTCATCTTGCCCTAACTTTTTTTTTCACTCTCTTACGAAAAAAAAACCTTTGTGTTTAGCTATTAAGACTGCTACTGGCTATGGTAGTTTTCAACAGCACCTACCACGTCAAACTCGCATAATGCGACATTCTTGTGCCCTACTAATGTGTACATTACCCAATTAAATCATGCCTACCAAGGCTGTTGCAGCATGCCATTAAAGGGGCCTGCAACACTTTTTTAAGTACCATAGAATGAGAATTACCATGGAAAGGAGCGCCTCATGAATTCACCACCGCAAACATTTTTTGTTTGTTCAGTACGATCAGAGTTACAAAGATGTGTTGCACACTGCAATTACATATTCTCTTCTCTTTTTCCGATGGAAGCACTGGAAGATAAGCAGGTAGAGATGGCACGGGGAAAGAAAATCCGTCAGCTGCGCCTTGCGATCTTGAGCACTTTTTTTTTCTTTGAATATGGGGCTTCTTAGTGTGTCTGTGAACATGCGCATGGACAAGTCACGAAGTCGCGGCTTTTCGCAGTGGCCCAACTAATCACCAAGCGAGCCATGCTCAAATGAACCAATGGCTGATGCAGTGACTGTGATGAGTGTTTTTTGAGTTTGTATCATCATTTGTCGAGAAAAAAGAAAGCAATTTTTAGCTGACTTTGAGAGTTGATTGTAAATTTCAGGCCCCAAGCGGCGGTAAAATATTCAGCTGGCATTTTCTCGGAAGCCTTGACTACCAATCAGCATTTTCTGGCCGTGTTCAAAAAGTGTTGCGGGGCCCTTTCAAAACTCAATGCCCTTTGCCCTCTCAATGCATTCACACTTTCTAGTGTGTTCATAAAAATGTTAGCTATGAACACAGATAATAGTGCCACTACATTACCACCACCGGCGTCATACATGTAAAGACGCAGGCTGAGCCTTACATTTTTAGGAGCATTTACAGAATGCCAGGCACATCAACCCAATTAAGTTTACTCATGCTTGTAAACATCCACACAGGTTCATTTGACCGATTTCTACTGTGAGAATAGCACTGTGCGTTACCAATGCCAGGTTGTGTTTATGCTTCAAAAGTAAATGCTGTGATTGCTACAGCACTTGTCTATCATCTGATAGCTTTTGTCTCGTTCAAAAGAGCTATCCTTTCCCCCAAGGAAGCAGTGCCTGCTATGTTTGTACTGGTGCTGCCTATTTTATGTAGCCTTCCTGTTTTCCTGCTAGGGGGTAATCCAATCTCACCGTTACCTGGAGGTTCATATGTTTGGGAGAGGGGAGCTAAAGTAACTGTTGATATATTGAGGCACACAGAAATCTGTTTTCATTGTGATTAAAATTTAGAAGTTTATTGGTGGAAAGGTTTATTACATCAGTAAACATGTTTGCAAAAAAGCTCGGTTGGTAATTGGGCTCGTGGCCTAGGATGCAAACGGGAAAACGAGCACTTGCTCCCACTTTTTTGGATTTACTTACACCGCTGAGTTTCTGTGCTTACATAGATGTGTATCACTAACAGTAGCACAATACACATCCTTTTTATAGAAGTATATCAAAAGTTGACACAGCTGTTTCTCTGCGTAACATTATCTAGATGTAAATTTAATTCATTTATAGAAAAGCTATGATACGATTGATTTTTGCAGCAGGTTTTCACATGTCTAGAGGTACATTTGTTTCCACATACATATATATATCAAGAACTTAAACTTCCATTAATTGCATTTGCTTCCATTTTATCATGTGTACCGTGTGTATGGTGCGAATGACCCTGCACATAAACTCACTCAATGCTTAGCGCTTATTTTGTGACCCAACGAGTGTGTAATCTTCACTCAGAATAATAGGTATGCATTGAAGCACCTACTAAAATCAAGAATTCTTGCAATAAGCTTCTTATATTCTTGTCTCTCCATACATTTTACTTTTGTTTTTGGTACATAGCTGGGGTACTAAAAGTCAGAAGCTAAAACTTTGACCTATAGCTTGCATGTGTGACACTTTAAGCAAATATAAATAAAATTGCATGTTTAGTTTATTATTGGCACTGGGGAAACCTGCTACAGACATTATATAATGCTTGAAAGAGCGAAAAAGCTAAGGCTTATGAATAATTCACGACATGTTTATTTAGCAAGAAGTATCAAAGGTTCATGACACAAGTTGCATCTAAACTAAGCCCATAAACGTTGTGTAATTTACATCACCTTGATGAAGACATGGGGTCAGCAAGTTATCTCAGGAACCTGTTCCTATTGTGCACCTGTTCCCTATTACTACAAGGCATTGTGCATCAGCACGCTCTTGAAGACCACCCTGCAACGCAAAGAGAGAAAAAAAAAGGGGGGGGTGGGGGGGGGGGGCTTGCCATGCGAGATGTTGTCAGCCATTATGTGGCACAGCATCTTGTAAGTATCATAATATACTCGCTTTTGTCTCTACCGTGTACCCGTAATTCCCATGACAATAATAAGTGCCACTCGTGTTGATCACCACAGCTCATACAAGAAAGATCAAATATGCCTATTTTCTAATAAATAAAGTTGTGTCAATCAGTGCTCTTAAGAGCATTACTTACTCCTGGCACATTTGGTACATTCTATATACATTTAGCCATTGTCAAGAATGACACTGTGATTACAGGATAAAATGATTGTCTCAATTGCCACTGAATTATTTCTTTGCTCGGCTGTCAATGCAAATCAGATTGACCAATTCCTTTCAATAAGCAATGCTTTCCCTTACTGTTTACATTTTCTATTCTCTATCATGCAAAAGAACATTAAATGAGCAAGGTTAGCTCTCTAGTTAAAACTTTGTAGTAACTTACTATTTCTTTTTCTTTGTTTTCTGTCTATAGGAAATACTCACCTCGATGTTCCAGGTAAGATACTTTATTTGTCTACTTTTTGATTATTTTGTGCCTGAGAAGGAGGCAGCCTTATTCCAAATGTTTATGCAACTTATGGTGGTGGCAAATAACTTTACTGGTACGATTCCATCTTGCACATCTGGAAGCAATTGTGCAGAAAGTTGACAGCATTATAAATGAATAGAAGAGTTAGTTCTCCTGTTTCAACCTGGGGTAGAGTAATATATTAGTGATTTCTTTGGTTTACTTCTTGAAATTTCAGGGTCATAATATCTGTAAGGTGAATAACAATCAAATAATATGTCAAGATAAATAAATATATTGTGATAAAATGCTTACACAGCTCTGTATGAGACATGAATGCTTATTTTATGCAAATACCTGACTTTCGTGACATTGCTCTTGTATTTATGTGACGTAGTGTTTTTCAACCAAATTTTCTTTGACTTAGTTGTCATATTATGGCTGTCATGTGTGAAAGATTGACATAGACATCATTTAAAAAGTTTGTGAAAGCGTACCATATGTGGTAATGATCAAGAAATAATTTACAGAAAAACGAAAGATTACTAGTGTGAAAGCGACATGCAATATGGAAGTGAATAACGTCCCCTGTAATGTGGGTGGTTGAGTTATCTTTGGATATAGATGCGTGAAAATTAGTGAAGTGGATTTTAGACAGATAGATAGAAATCGTTATTCAAAGGACTATCGTTAAATTGAATCTGAAGGGACCAAGAAAATGTGTTGCGTTCAACAAGAGTTTCGTTTACTGAGAGATGAATAGGGATGCAGTGTTCAGGTATCAGACCAATAATATTAAATACGCTTGTTTCATATAAGCAGCAGTTTTGTTTAAGGGGTATGGTAGGGCAAACCCCCCCAAAAATCTAATTTGCAGTTTTTGATACCGAAAATTTCGCTGCACTTTGAGGCACAACAAACCTGTGGAAGCTCGCGGCCCTTTCAAGTGGTTTAAACGCTGCACCAAAGTGCATCACGCGCCCTCTGGCGTAAGCAGTATGCGCACGTAAAACTTCGTTTTTCTCAAATTGCATTTTCCGTAAATTTTTCCGCTGTGTACCTTTTCTCAAAACACATTGAACCAATTTCGATGAAGCTTTGTATGCGTGAGCTACAACAAGTTTACAACTTGAGCTACAACAAGTTAGGAATAATCTGAACTAAAAAAAATTGCCGATTTTTCAAAAAGTGAAGCTGTAAAAAAATTTCACAACATTACGCACCCTCCGTGGTGTTGTGCAAGCAGTGTTTTTATTTTTTTTACAAAAGCTTCATGAAAAATGTAATATATCTTTTAGTTCAGATGTAACCTATGAGTCTCTACAACAACACGGCTGAATATGGTTACATTCCTTACGGTAGTTACCATAAAAAAGGGTACATCGAATAAGTGAACCCCCTTTAAAATTTGGGAGTGGGCCATAGGTAGGATAAGCAACCTAGGCATACAAAAAGGGTGTCACTTGATACCCAAGGGCTTTTTTGTGAGCATGTAAAATTTTATGGGAATGCTTGCAGCCTTTCGTAAAATATTACATTAAAACTGACATATACCATTTACCCTACCATACCCCCCTTAAGAGACTTCTATTTACTAAGAGTCTACTGTATGCCAACAGGCGTTCGCAACAATGGTAGTACAAGGAGCAGCATCAGCGAGGGGTCCGGAATCAGCGCTGCCTCTAGCCGCACATACGTCAGTGACAAGTCCCTACTCGTTGTAGAAGCAAAAGAGAATGGTGTCATCAGGTATGACATTGGAAAATCATTCAGGACATCATTTTATGTTTTATTTCACTCAGTGTGATGTATAAGTGAATAATTTGTCTCTAGAAATTTGTGAAAATTTGTGAATAGTATGTAAATAGAACAGATCTTTACATGCTTTATTTACAGCATACAATGAGGTATGAGTGCTGCTTTTACAACTCTCTGTGGTACCTGTGTCGCATCCTCTCGGATAAACTTGGAAAATTGGCTGATAGTAGCACAGGATTGTACCTAAATGCAAAGCTATTTTTCTCTGTATTATTTGTTTGATCTTTGTATCTACACTGTGTTGCTTATGCTTTTATTTCGTTTATACATAAAAAACATTCACTCCTAAAAAGTCGCATAGTCATATTATTGCAGTAGGGCGTTGAGCATTTGCAGACTGCTTCTGAAGAACTATTGGCAATATTAATTGCAGCTATGATGCTGAAGAACAAGATCTACATTTTATGTAAACAAATTTAGGGAAACCAAACAAGCACCGAAACAAAAAAAATGTTTGTGAGGAGTGGGGAGCTCAGTGCAGTTGAGTTCTCATTAAAATATTAGGGCGGTAGTTCAACAGAAAAACTTAAAATAATCACAGAAGAATACAAAAGAGGTAAAATGAAGTTATTTTAATATGAAGGTAATTATGGAGGAAAAGAGTTCTTAAAACTTATAAGAAAAAAAGACTGATAAATATGGACAATACCTAGCTATGCAGTACTGGTGGAATTATCCTTGCCCAAGTTTCGTAAAAGACAAAGAAGAGAGTGAAAAGAAGGAGAAAGCTGCTAAGCTACAAATGCACTCTCTCCATGCAATAGATAGCATACCTGAGATATGGATCACTTGAATGTGAGTGCATATGTGGTAACAGGCATATCATTTCAAATATTTTAGTGGGACTGCTTCTACTCAGTGCAATTTCCGCTTTGTTATATCATCTCACTGTGCCCCACAGAAATAGTGTGCATATCTACTAAGGGGTACCTAGCAAGCTCATTGTGTTCTGAATGGTCCTGATCATTTCGATTTTCTCTTGAAGGAATATTTAAGAATACAATTAAGTGATATTTTCTCCTTCAGGCATTACTTGATCCCTCCTCATTTGGCACATCGCAGCAAGTGGCGAAGGAAAGGCGTCAAACTGCACATTTTCAATGACCATGTATTTGTGGCCAAGCATATCCCAGGGTAAGCACATGAAGAGATATTTACATTATAAATAGACCTCTTGCGCTATTCCTGATGAGGAGCAGCATGCACTCATGTTCATGCCTATGACTATGAATGCCACTAAAAAAAATAAAGTACCTGATCATGATAGCTTCATGTGATGATATCTATTGAAAAACATTGCAAATAGCTATGCACAGTTGTGGGCAAGTCTTGGAAAATATTGCAGCCTGTGACTGTGCATTTGGTTTGTCAGTGCTCTTAATGCTATTGCCACTCCGGCAGCTTTGCCCATGTTTTGCATCTGTTTCTAAACTCTTTCATTCGAGCTAGGCTCATTGTATATGTGCAACCTGCATTTAAGGCCTAAACTTGGGTCAGCTGCACTTACATTAATGTGTGGATAGGATGTATTGCAAGAAGAGAGAGAGGGAGATAGGTTTTTATTTTGTGTCAATTATGAACACTTTTAGCCTTTAGCATGGGTGTGTGCAATGGAGTAATGCATAAATAGAGAAGCAGAACAAAAGACAAAGTGGTGAAGTCATCCACAGAAAACATTAAAAGGCATCAGCAGGGGAGTGAAAAAGTAGGCATGAAAAGCAGTGAATTGTGGTGAGAAAGCAGTGCAAGGAACAGTATGTGACCAGAACGTGCACTGAGCGAAGACCTCTAATCAACTATAGGGATAGGTGAAAATCATAGTTATCGAAAACTGAAGAATGTGGGCTTGTAAAAGGAAAGAATTTGACAAAAGCTGCATACTTTCAGTGATAGTTATATTAACATTGGCATATATAATAAGGCACTGTGCTAAATATTTTCTTTAGTATTCTGCTCTCTTAGCCAATGACTGTGTTCATTGTGTTTTCCTCTGTAAGAATGTGTTGATAATAAAACATATTGTTTGGACAGATTCTGTGCTTTGTTAAACATTCAGTGTTCATGTACCATTTTAAGCGAACCTGGTTAGAGTTTCTCAAGTCCACAGTCGTATGACTGTGCGGCATTGTATAGATTCTTTAATTTAAAATTGATACTTGCCAAGTTTGTCAAAAATCTGACAGCAAGAAATTCTAGGGGGATGGGGGGGCTAGGTATAGATTTTGTCAATAGTGAGATGTTCAGGAGGATTTTGCTCTAATAAAATCTGAAAGCTCTAAGTTAATTCTATTTCTTGCCGTATTGACACCGTACATTTATATTCTTATTGTTGCAGTGGAGTTCAGTGTCACGTTTGTTCAAGGCTACTGACAAGAAGGCTAGGAAAACAAGGTTACGTCTGCAGAGGTTGGTATTCCGGCTATCCTCACCTTCTCTGTGTTAAAAGATTTGAAAAGAGGAATCACAGCGCTCGTGTTTTTTTTGCACAGTTTTGGTTACAGAGCTGACAATACTATGTGCCTCTTGTTCTTATACGAAGGCATCTTGAATAATTTCAGGTTGTAACCTGCTCTGCCACAAGTCTTGCCATGTGAAAACAGAAAGTGTATGTAACAACAGCTCTGTGGCGACCATGCAAATGTAAGTATGAAATACACCGATGTTTGGCATAATGACGTTGGCATGTTAAACAGTGAAAAAAGATAGCTTTCTAACCTCTGTTTCCCTTTAAGACTATAATCATTATATTATGAGTGCACATAAAAATCTGAGCACTTAGATTTGATGGCAGTGTTGATCTAGCTCTAGCAATTTCGGCATCAAAATATCTTTATTGAAACATTCCTTGAGCCCGGCGTTCGCTTTAAAAGCTTAAAAAAGTTGGGCAGTTTTCTTATGAACACAATTCGAAGGCCAACTCAAAATCTATATTTAGTTCAAATTCTGAAGGTTTCTCGTCACTTATTTTATGGCGAACACTTTCTTGAGAAAAGAATGGTAGACTGGGTATATTGGCTCGGCATATTTTGAAGTGTAAGGCACGATAACGACAACGAACAAGTCATACACGTGCATGTAGCACCTTCAAAGTATAGATAAATGAATGAATGATTGCCTGACTGACTAACGGAATAAATAAATGAATGAACAAACGAAAATGAACCACTTATTGATTTTTTAGTGTAAATATACATCTTCATTAGAACATGGGCTCGAGACTTAAATATCAAGTTAACTCACACTTTTCAGGGTGTTTAATTATAGTGCAGTTGTACACACATAAAAAAAATCAAGAGAGTATAATTAAATTTGGCAGGTGACATGGCAGCAGTTTTCTCGGACAAAGGAATAATAGGACATATTTGGAGAGTGAATGTATAAAGCATTGATTGTTATGATCAATGAATGTACAATAGAAACGTTTTATGCAAGAATAGTGTAAGAGAAATTGTACAAGATTGCCTTTATGTTACTCACAACACCTCTGCTTGTTTATGAATAAATAAAATGAACTCGATAATTTTCATGTGTCCTTCTGTGTACTGAATGTACACATAGTAACAAGATGTCCAAGCTGATCTAACTATTTGCATCTGTACTGACACTAATGTCCATTCATTTGTACTTTATGTATGGTAAGTATATATATAAGTATAGTACTTACATGTGTATACAGCTATATTATCATAGCTTTCAAAAACATTTCCATACTACCGTTGCTTATTTGGAGTTATTAATATTGTTTATAAACTAATTTATAATATTTTACTTCAATTAATTTGACTAGCTGTTTTTTAACAAAGGTGTACACTTTAACTTTCTTTTCACAGGGATGTAAGTTGAATATTTATTGCATTTTATCCATAGGTGTAAATATCATTAAGAATAAAGAGAAGTTTGATATATGATGTGCAAAATAATACAAACATTTAACCAGGGTTGTTTCTCTGTCATTATCAGAGCTCCCAACTCGCAACAGCCAGCATCAATGAGTAACAATGCATTTAAATTTATTTTGTGATGCAGTGCATCATGCAGTATATATGAATGAAATGCTGGTGATTAATCATATCTGTTATATTTAAGACTGGCTTGATTTGGCTTTAATGTTGATACCGTGGGCTCAGAATTTTTTTTTTCTGGAACATTTTATGTGTTTTTTAAAATAATTGAGAACTTCTGTTCATGATTTACTACTGCAGGGGGAACGTGGTAGCTTGTCATCCACAGTTTTACAGTGGTCCATTTTATTGAAGTTGTAGCTTGGATACCGTGGATTATAAGGAGTTTAAAGTGAGGCTGGATACTTACCTCAGATGAAGCTCAAATACCGTATTTACTCGATTCTACCGCGCCCTCAATTGTAACGCGCACCCGATTTCCACGACGAAAAAAAAAAAAAGTAAGACATCGATTGCAACACGCACCCATTTTTCTTGCTGGCCCGCACGATCACACCACTCGAAAAAACGACTCCTTTTGGGAGCGTCTTCCATTTAAATATGAGGTACGGGGGAAGCTTGTGCCCATCTGACGTGTAACAGAGCATTGCCGTCAGTGTAGTTTTATCGTGGACCGACGTCAGCACGCGAACTTGCGACGGTTGTGGTGCCAGGCATGTCGAAGTAAAGACCGTCTGATCGGCATTCCCGATTTGCCCAAGCAGGTAGCCATTGTTGTACCGCAAGTTCAGGACGAACCTCTGAAAACTGTGGAGCTTTTCATCGTACTCCTCTGCAAAACTTTTGGCATATGCCTGTTCACCTTCGAAAGGAAAAGCCTTTCTTCTTCATAAAGTTAGTTAGCCATCACCTGCTTGCTTTAAACTGGCTCTGCATTAGACCTTTTTCTAAGGCTAATTGTATAGGCCACACTTGGAGCAGTTCTATCGTCACGGGCCGCTGTGCCGCTCGCTGCTCAAGCACATACTCGCCGAGCAGCTCTTCAATTTGCGGAAACCGACCCTGCTGTGGTCCACTGAAGCCTTTGCGTGAAGCTTTGCTGTCGACAATCTTCTGCTTATGTTTCCGCCAGTCCCGCACGCACGTTTTGGGAACTCCGAACGACCACGATGCGGCCCGATTTCCGCCCGTTTCTGCACACGCGATGACTTTTCTTTTAAAAGCGGCATCATGGTGCACTCGAGTTTTTGGAGATGGCCCTTCCATGTCGTCGATGCTAATGCACTACAAGATGACGAACTTCTCAGCACACGTACAAAGTGCCGCACATGGGAAACACATAGGCAGAAATGGCCGACGTGCCATGCCAACGCACATAGAGGGCGACCATGTTGGAAATGCCGATGGCAATAGAATGACCGCTTTCATTTTTTTTTGGTACTCGTTTCTAACGCGCATGCGATTTATGAACTCGCTTAACCGTAAAAAAGGTGCGCGTTAGATTCGAGTAATTACGGTACTAGAAACTATTGTGCCATTTCTTGTTGTCGTTTGACATTGTGGTTGACAGCAGGCTGCCACTGTATGTATGGGTCACTACATTATTTTAATGCTAATCTTGATAATACAAGTTTTACTATCCAAGAATATTTCTGCCGAGGTAAGATGAGGACAACTATCTAAGCTAATGTCTTTTAAGATTGTGATGCCATCAAGATCACCTGAATAATTCTTTTGGAAGCTAATTGTGTATCTGCATTTGTTCTTATTTATTTACAAATACTGCAGACCCTCCTTGGGCCCAAGCAGGTGTGGAAATATCATTAAAAAACAATAACAACAATAAAACTTACAACTGTCAATAACATTAGTCATAGAGGAAACATAAACCACAATCAACAAGCAAAAATAAATAAATACATATGCTTTGCAATAAAAAACATAAAACATTATAAGTGATAAAAAATGCACATACAATAATTCAACACAATATAAATTAAACACTATGCATAAAAAAGCAAATGCAAGAATCAACTGCCACAAAGCTCTTGTAATTTATGTAATTGAGTATGAACTTACTGTTTTGATGAAAATTAAAATTTTAGAAATATATATATTTTTTACTGTGGTGCCGCAAGGGCAAATTAAGCATATATGAAGACAGTATTTCATATTTTGCATGTGTGTGCACACATATGGTTATAGAACAGATATCTTGCTGTGTTATGTTATACCTCTCTCTTTCTTTCTATTGTATTTTTGTAGGTTTGAGTTTTCATTTTTCTTTCGGGAGTCTGGAATCTGCTGGGAGAAATGTGCATGAGTGATTTGCGTCCTGAGGCAGGCTTACCTTTCGTTACCTGCACTTCTGGCCAATATGCAGCACGCTTACTTAAATATTAGTAGTACAGCAACTATTATTTTACACTTATTAATATATCATGTTGGTTTTTACCGAATATCGTTGTGGCTTATCAATGTTTATAATTATAGTGTTTGCCATGGGGGATATTTGTGATCCTATCTGATGTATTTTCACTACGTACATGCTTCATATTTATGGTAGATACAGGAGTGTACAGCTTCAGTATTTCTTATGATCAATAGCAAATATTTTCAAAGCCCATTGCATGACCTATGGTAATTTGGTTGGTCAGTCGGGTTTGTTGTAAAGGCATGTTTAATGTTTGCAGTGAAGAAAACTTACACAGGAAGGCAATTTTCGCTTTAATATCTACAAGTAATAGTTGCAAGCTTTTTTAAATTTTAAAATGCTGTTTCTTGCTCAAGTGTAACATATAACTGCAACTTGGAATGCCCAGCTTCAACGTCAAACTGCTTATAAAGGTATCCAACAGTCAGACTACTGTAATGTCACTGGTAGAGCTAAGTAAATTAGACAATAGCAGATTGTTTTTCCTGCATTGTTTTATTGTTTGATACGCTTACATAATACTACTTAGACACAGCTAATTTGTGACTGCTACCTTGCCCTTTTAGTATAGTTTTCATGTTCTCTGTGTGCATGATTTCCATTATATTGAATGCTTAATGCTAGCTGTTAAAACATGAAATTAGCGAAAACTGTGTGTGTTTGTAATGACATGTCTCAAATGATGCTGCAATGTTTTTGTAAACTACATGAGCCTGAAAAGCATAGCTCTCATTGAAACTACCAGTGTCATTTAAGTTGGATTCTAATATACTCCTGTGTTTTATTTATTTATTTTTTTGGGTTGGGGAGAGATAAAGAAGGTGCCTCAGCTTTAGCATGCTACTACATATATGGGACTTTGGCATACACTGATTTATTATTATTATTATTATTATTGTTAGTTGTAATGGTATTTGCCTCCTATCACAAGATATGAGGTGTATTTTTCCAGAGGGGATTTTGATTATTCAGCATTTTAGGGAAATGTGCTAAGTTATATTGGATGGCAAGTAATTTAAAACAAACGAAATAATTCAAGAATTGATGTGCTTGTATAGTATACTGTAGACATATACTGATAAAGGATTGTTTAAATGAGATGAAGAAAAAACTGTCTCTTAGCACATAGGGTAGTGTTGAAAATTGAGTTGTCTTTTGTGTGCTGCATTTATTCTTCCTTTCTTTTCAGTTTATGAGTCTTTTATCTATTGGCTTTGATGTTTCAGGGAACCAGTGGAAGACCTGCATCCACCGCACATGAAGACAAGTTGATGCGAGTAATGAGAAACTGCTGCATAAGAACGTGACATCTCGCAAGACTTTCTAAACTGCAAAGCACAAAGTTTATTTGATTGTTGCCGTGATGTGTTAAGATGAATTGCCTTGTTTTACTGCCCTCCACTTCACTTGTGGTCCTTTAGATTTCTTACCAGCAGCTTTGTACGCAGCCTTCAGGCAGCTCCCAAATATCGGCGCAGAGCATTTTGCGAAGTGCTTATTTCAAGGTCGCTCACTAAGAACGTAAGAATGCTTTGATGAAATTTATCCATTTTCTTGGGGACAAAAACACAAGAGATTTGTTTTTTCCGTCAAAATAATATTGAACTGAAATACATGTTTGGAGCTGAACATCACATGATCAGACTGCTTCTTGGTACTACGCAGTGTCTTTACTAGAACAGAAGTTTTTGTAACATGTTTGGTAAATACGGCACATTTTGATGTATGCCAACCAGATAACCAGCGAATGGCACCAGGGAAGACGTCCATAACATTACAGATAGTACCAAGAGGGCATCAGGTGGCGTTTCTCACTAGCTACCACAGCGTGAGAGGCAGGGTTCCTCTTTTATTTCACAAAACTTTCACCATGTCATCCTGAGTTCACCTTGCAAGAACCAGGCTGGTACCTACGGCTGCAGTACATTGTGCATACTCTCTTGTGTGATTACGATGTGAGCTATCTTGTTATTATGCGACAATCGACACTCTTCAAGTGAAAGAAAATCTGTACCGCAAGCGACCGAGCCAATGGGAGGCAGTTCACTTTTCATCGAGTTGGAAGCCATCAAACGAATTTCGTGCTCGCCACTAGCTTTTATGTGCTTGACAGTTTTCTTGTATGCCAATACTTTTTTTTATCGATCGACTACACAAACTTGTGTGATGACATACCTGAGACAAACAAGCAGTTGCTCATGACTGCCATCAAGTCATAGTCGTGCACACAATGCTTTCCCATTAGACATATTCACACTCGGTGCCCTTTACAGGTGCTTGCCTAGGCCTGTAATGTCTGGCATTAAATGAGCAGTGTGGGGACACGCATTTGTCAAGGAGGCTAGAAGCAGATTTGAAGTGATAGTGCGAGCAATATGTGCAGTGCAATAAAAGTGTTGAAAATTTGCTAGTTGAAGCATATTATGATGTGTTCTTTATATATATATATATATATATAAACAGATATTGATGTATGTATATAAAGATGGCACGCTTTTTAGTTACTTTAATATGACCATATCTCGTATGCATTTCACTTTTTGTATGGATGTTTATGTGTGTGCTTACATGTGTTGAGAGTAGTCCAGTGGAGTCAGGTGCAGCCTCAGTTTTTTTTTTTTTTTCATTCAGTGGAAAGGTTTTGGTAGATGTAATTATTATATTAATGTGAGATAATTATTGCCGAATATCTCCTAATATTTGAATTGAATAAAAAAGTAGAAGGCAATCGACTAATTCAAGCACTCATTGCAAGGAGAAGGTATATTTTTGGAAAGTAGTATTATTCGAATGCAGCTCTTTGTGTGTATCAGCAGGTTCACTTGCACGATTAGCAATACTTGAAGTATCACTGTGGTAAAGGTGAAAATATGATGCTATAGCAAATCAGAGACTTCAATATTGTTTGTATTGAGGTTATGTTAGTGATTTTTCTGGATATATGCTTTTCACTTTATCACCAGCTGGAGCTCGTGGCTGGACTTTCTTAGTGAAAAAAGCATATATAATGAGTGTGTGTTGCTAAAAACTGTTGTACTTGTAAATTTTCTTTTGTGGAAGGGCTATTCAAATGCTGAGCCTCGTTCATTGTGGTCTGATTGAACATTGTGTTTTGCTGAGTTGTGGAGTATGCAGTGTTTGTTGATGTGACCATGCAAAAAAAAACAATTGCTTGGTTTAAAAACTTATATAATAATCCTTTAAGAACACTTAGTTCTTATATTGGAGTTGATAACATGATTATTTATAAACATTTAAATATGGGAAATATACCAAAAGCATTGGAAAGATATGTATATAGTAGCAATATAAGTAAAATAACTCCATCAGACATGCTGGAATGCTAGTTTTTCTTATATGTTGGCACATTAGCAAAAAAATCTCTGCACCTGGCTTGAAGAGAAGTGCCTGTAAGAAAAATAGCTCACGTTTTTGTCATTGCAGAGTTATACAAGCACAGGCTTTGATGATGCACTTTTTCTAAGGATACTTGCCTAAAGAAGCACGGGAGCTTAAACGAGACATGAAAAATAAAAATATACCAGACGAACTTGCATAATGTATTGGTCGTGCATTGATCGTGATACTACAGTCAGACTTATTACAAAGTTTGTGCTGCTACCATGCTGTGATGCAAACACAGGGAGGAGCAATGTAAGTAATATTTATGCTTAATCCTTCAGCATTTTTTCTAGTCTTGAAATGTAAAACGAAAATGCCTTATTCACTACAGTAGCTATGTAGCTTTATCAAACAGGCCTCGAAATATGGATCTGAAAACATCATTATAAGTACGGAAGACAAGGAAGCTACCAATTACAAAAAGTTGGTCGTACTTGATGGCATTTCAGTGGCTTCTGAAAGGTTGGAAATACTGGTCGGAATTTATTTGCGCGAGTAAGCATGCACCTAATGTGCCAGAAATTCATTAAACAGCTTGAAAAAAGCTGGATTTGTGGGAAGTGCAGATATTATAAATAACAAATAAAACCTAATAAAAAATACACTTAGTATTGTGCTATCAATGTTCAAGCATATCGAGGCACTCATGGTGGCACCAAATTTCTGCTCAGGGCACAAATTTACTCTGAAAAAAGTTATATGTTCAGGCTTTGCTAGAAATAGCTGGTATTTTTTTTTCCTGTTTGGGAACAATTGCTATAATTTTTCATTTCATTGTTGCAGACGACTGCTTTTTAGTCTACGTGCAATAATGCGGTGCATTTTATGAACAAAAGAATGTGTGAGTGCTATTTTAGGAGCTTGTTGATGTTTGCTCGCATGGTAATGAGATGAAGTTTCAAGAGAATGTTGCATAACTATCTATGCTGCTTTGTTAATGGTTACAAAAGTAAGTTGTTGCACTGGTGCATACCACGCTGTCACTTTGTTTTCTCGAAGTGTATACTTGTGAAAAATGTTGCGATATCTTTCACAGCCTGTAAATGTTCGTTAATTTTTATTTCCAATGGCCATATGATACTTATTTCTGTGAGGTTTGTCAATATGTCAAGTGAGCTGCGGTGTGATCCTGAATGCCATCTCCGGTCACCGGAAGAAATTTCTTGTGTGATTTTTCCTTTTGGTACTTCTACATCGAACGAGTTTTGTCATGTTCGATTGAAATAAATAAGTAGGTTTTCATTTACTCATGTGACTGACATGCTTCTTTGCCACATTTCTTGGAACCCATAAATATTTTGAAAGTATCTTTTGTACTGTATGCGTCGTATTAGCTTTTTGCGAATATTCTAATGATTAGAATATTTGAACGAATAGTAGAGTATTTGAATTCGCTTCGATTGGAATTTAAAATATTGAAAATTTCGAAATATTCGTAATGAACGAATAAGTGTATATTAATCCCCATGTAACGGCATGTAAAGGTAGCTTTGCTGCAGTGTTGAAATGCTAAACGGCAAAAGCATCTTATAAAAAAAAATCGTTTTGCCGCGAAGCCCCTGTTCGAGTTTAAAGGGGCCCTGCAACAGTTTTGATCACGGTCAGAAAACGCTCCTGATCGGTAGTCGAGGCTTCTGAGAACACGCTAACCAAATATTACATTGCAGCACGCATCCTTCAATTCGCAATAAAGTCTCAAAGCCAGCTGAAAATTGCTCCCTTCTTTGGGAAAATGACACCACAAGTTCAAAAATCACTCGTCACAGCCATTGCATCAGCCGGTGGCTGATTTGAACATGGCGCGCTCGGTCGTCATTGGGGCCACAACGGGAGGCCGCGACGTGTCCACGCTGCGCGCGCGATTACACTGAAAAGCCGCGCACTAGAAGAAAAATAGGTGCTCGAGGTCACGAGCTGTGCGTGACGTGTTTTCTTTCCCCGTGCCACCCCTCAGTGCTTAGTTTGCAGCTCTCGACAGGACGAAAGAAGAGACGATGCGATTGCAGCGTGTGACAAATCTTTGCAACTAAGCTTGTACTAGATGGATTAAAAAAGAATTACGGTGGTGGATTTCTTATGCAATAGGCTTCTTTAGTGAATTCATTCCATGTCTACTTGAGAAACTGTTGCAAGGCCCTTTTAAATGAACATATTGCCCTAAAAACAATTCGTCTGTTTATTAAGCTTGAAAGCTTGTTATGACGACTTATATGCTCTAAGTATAATGAATTTTAAAATGTTACGTATTCTACAGGTTCTGGCTGGCATCCTAACGAAAGTCCAATCCTGCTACTACTCAAAGCTGTTTCGCCTCCTCAACGAAAAAAAAAGAGGCATTTGCATATCGGCCTTACTTCAATATAAAAAAATATGTGCAGGTTAGCTACGTGATGATAAATGTGTCCATTTTTCTTTGTATGTCATTTATACTATTCGAATTTGATGCGGAATTTTTCGACCGAAATCACTATTCCCTTCGAATTCATTTCGAACCTAAAATTCTCTATTCGCACAATACTAGTTATTCTGTCTTTGATACAAGACAAGTATCTGGCAATTTTACTTTCAGGTCATATGTTTCTGACCGGCTGGAATATTGACCTCAGCGACTCTAGTGTTTGTTATAATATATTGGCCAGCTTGATCCAAGACTAAGATCTACATGTTGCCGGTGCTTCCATATTGGCGGCCTGACTGAAGCGAACGGCGGATGCCGCAAAAGTTCGCTAATGGGTTAAATGCACATTAAAAATAACAGTAATTGTTGGGAGTTTAACGTCCCAAAACCACGCAGGCATGCTATAGAGATTCTAGAACTCTATTGCATATTGCATATTTGCATATTGCATATTTGCAAACTTCTATAAAAGATGAAAACAGGAAAACCTTTCGAAGGGGCCGTCGTCCAGGGTTATACACGAATGGCGCCTACTTTGCTAGCGATAACTCGAGTAAGAAAGAAGTGCTTACTCAGCAGTTAATATCCCGAAACAAGTGAGAGAGAGAGATCAAAGTTTAACATAGGCACACCTTTGAAGAAAGCAGAACAAAGAAAGTGACCCTTGCGACAAGCTATAGCAGGATTACATCAAGTCGAAATACACGTTCCAAATCGAGCAACTATATATACAGTCCCTCGAGATAGCTTGCTAAATCAAAAGCGATGGCGTGAAAGAAAAATAAATCTTATTTATAAAGGCAAAGAAGATAGTATTAAAACAAGCTTGTACCACGTCGCGTACACACAGAGTGGTAATGCGCAAACCATGGAGTTAGAGCTGCCAAATCCGTAAAAAAAAAAAAAAGATTGCATAAAGCTGGCGGAACTACACATCCCTTTCCGTCTCGTATTTTTTTCTAGGGTTTAGAACAAATGTTTTTCTAAGAGGCTATTGAAAAGCATGCAAGGAAATAACGAATACCGTAAGTGCAATGGTTTTCACGGAATAACTATTGCTTGCATGGATACGCAAATTCTGCTATCTTCCCTGAAAGAGTTGCTTTTGGCCCCATCAGAAGGCTGGCCGTCTTATAAAACGAAAACGATTTCTTTTGACCTGGAAAAGGTTTCCTCATTGCTATCTGTCGCAGAGCTTTTAGCACCTTGACGTCAAAGAAAAAAAAAAATCCCCAGGAGGGAGCGCGCCCGCGTCCACAAACCTTTCTGCACGTAAGAACCGCGGTGATAGTGATGAGGTGGACCATGCATTCCTTCCGGAAGAAGAAGCGATTGATATATTTAAGAGGTGAATCCACCTTTCTTCTGATGCTGCAGGCAAGGTTGTAGGCTTCAGACTGTGAAAGCGTTAGCCCTTTAGAGAGCGGGAGCAGCCCACCCCCACAAACGCTAGACACAAATAAAATCTGAGAATACATTTTTTTTCTGAATACAGGTCACCAGAGTAAAGTTTTGCTGCAGCAAAATAATTAAAACTGTGCATTTACGCACAATGCAAGCTGATATGACGACCGTCAGTTGCACTGAAGTGAGAACACACAAGGAGCCATTTTGACCTGTTATATCTCGAGAACAAAGCCAATGAAGATGACATAAGTGAGCTTCGATTAAAAAAAATTGGTAAAGTTGAGACCGGAGTCTTTTTAATGTAGTCAATTAAATGAGATCATTGAAAAATTTGATTTTTAACTAAGTTTTTTACGCTGCTTGTAGGAAAGCCATCTTTTGTAGATGTATTGCTAATATTTTTTTTGTCTATATTTGACACCGTCTCGAAGTTTCTGCATGAAATAGGAAACGTGCCAAGGTGCATTGCCTTCTCCGTTTCTTGTCGATTTTTCGCGCAGTTTTGTAGTCGTGCATTAAACTTGGCAAACCTTTTTGATTTGGGTCGTGTTTGCCATTTTCTCACATTTTTTTTAGATGCGAAGCAGCTCTTCGATTAGCATGTGTAACGCTGTCCGTCTGTGTCTCCGTGCGAACACGCCGCACCGCGTTCCTCCCACCGCAGTTGTTGGAGCGGTGCCAAGTAGGTCAAGTCGCAGCTGTGCATTGACGTCACTCTCTCTCTCACCCGCAGCAGCTGCCGGTCCCGGCACACCTAGTGGGTGCTGCTCCTCCACCCTTCGCAACACACTTGTCTCTCGCTTCACCCTCTTCACGGCCGCTGTGATAGCTCAGTGGTCAGAGCATCGAACGCGTTATTCGAAGGTCGTAGGTTCGTTTCCTGCTCATGGCTGGTTATCTTTAGGCACTGCGCCGTGCTCCCGACCGGGTTGCAAAAATTAGGTGCCTTTTCTCATCTTCTAACCATTACCACCACCACCACCCTCATCACCGCCCGCAACGCTCGACCGCAAGTCGAGTGGAAACATTCGTTTGGCTTGTTTATATACGAAACTGAACCCACCTTTCGTGTCCGTGTTTCGAAAAAAAAAAAAACGTTTACCGAGTTTCGCTTCTAATCGTTCTTCCACCACCCGCGTCGATGCCCGTTTCAGCTGGGTCAACGGCGTGCGCACCACTGCTGCTTCGCTTTCCATCATATTTCGCTTCGGGGAGATGGTCAATATTTTTTTTATTTTGAGGAGAGCGTAAAGAAAGCATGGAAATAATTTACTGTATTGCGCAATAAAACCAATAGCAAAAGTTTGCGACACAACGTACGTTTGTAGTTCTCGTTAGATTCGGTCGTGAAATCCAAAGATATTGCAATGAGGAAAAGCGAGATGCCCGCTCCGCCACCACCAAATATTTTTTTAGCACGCGACGAGGGTTTCTCGGAAACAAAATTTTCGGTTTTGCGCACATTGAACGTGCCCACATAACATAAAAAACCTAGGCAAAACAAGAATATTGACCGGACATGCATCTCGTTCAATCAACTTTTCGCACTTACACATTAGTCATGATGCGGAACTCAGCTAGAAGAACAAAGCCACTGATCAGCAAAGAGTGCAGATAAATGTAGCGCACACACACACACACACACACACACACACACACACACACACACACACACACACACACACACACACGCACACGCACACGCACACGCACACACACACGCACACACACACGCACACGAGGTGAGGGTTCAGTTAAAAGTAGCAACTCCTCAATTTATAAGACAACCAAGCGTAAAACTTTATCACAGCTGTCAACTGTGGATAACCCACATTGCCAGGTACTATGTATTGCTTGTGGCATTTCAATATAACTTATGATTTGGAAAACAATTAACAAAATGAAGCAACGATTCATAAAAGCCTCACTCGCAGAATTACAACTGCACAAATATTATACAGAACATTGTAGTTGTCACAGGGCAAAAAAAAAAAAAAAGCTGTGAAACAATGTATAAGGTAAAATTAGGGTGCACTTAAAAGCTAACTCTAGGATATGGATATAACTTGATCACAGCTTTCAACTTAGATTTAACAGCACTGCACAGATAAATAATACATATCGTATTTCAACATCTGTGTAATCCCAGAAAACAACCAGTAAAACGAACCCAGTGACTGGCAAAGATTGCAGTATGGCTTAAAAGTTATAACTACGTGTACGTAACTTGATCACTGCTTTCAAGTGAGAATGCGCCAGAGTACACATATCAATACAGTTTACGTTATTCCAACATCTCTTGTGATCCATAATTGTGGTACACAAGTAATTACATTCAAAGACGACACTGACGAGCAAATATTTCAGTGAGAAATGGGGCTAAGAAAGAGATGAAACACACGAATTGGCCTTTCATGTTTAATTGTAGAGATGTATGTGCAC